CCTTGGCTTCACAGTTAGACCTAAGACGTCTTAGTAAATGGGCCCAGGGAAGGTAACATGCTGATTTAACCCAGACTGACTGAGAGCGACGCAGCAAGCCAACCACCCTTTGCAACCTTACTCGGGTCGCTGGAGGTGCCAAATATCTAAAGGTGAACAGAAAATCGGTCGCGTCAGTGAACATTTCCCTGGGCGCAAGATTACGTGGCCATGTCCTCAGGGGGCTCAGGAGTTGTCGACGTGCACTTGCAGGCTTCGTGCGGCCAGGGCACAGCCCGCAGGGGTCTGAGTGCATTCGGCCGCTGCTCCTGGCCCCTGGCTTGGGCTCGGACCACCGTCCCCTACAGCACACGGAACCCTGGACATTTGCTGCAACAGTAGACGGTTTCAATGTCCCTTTGCTGATCTGAGGGTACGAAAGCTGTTTATGTTCTGAAACAGGATACGTTTTCTTCTCTTTTTTCTCTCTCACAAGAAAAACAAGCCAGGAAAATAGTTTCAAACTGCCAGTGGAAGGTGAACACATGATGAATGTTTGAAAAGCCCCTAATGTAAACGTCCCTTCTCAAATGAGAAAATGAAAGTAACTAAAAAGTCTATCAAAAAAAAAAAAAAAAAAAGGAAAATGGACCCCTTATCTCCTAACCATCCTAAAGTGCATAAAGATTAAACTACACTGGTTTAGAAAGAGGTGAAGATGTAAAAAGCACAGATACTAAATACAACATGAGTGTTATTGGGGCAGAAGTCTACTGGTTGCAGGCATAATTTTTGGTGAGCACACATGTTTTTATTATATTTTATGCCCTTCCTTTTAAATCAGAAGTAACCTGCCACAAGTGTGTTCTTTTAATTTAATTCAGCATTTGATTCCTTTCTAAATAATCAGTGCAAGACGGGGAGTGGGCTTAAACATTATGAAGTTTTTTCTTAATTCATTAATAAATACAATCCTTACATATTTGGATTTTTTAAAGATATTGAGAAGTGGGTAATGGTATTCTCCCAGGAAAAAGAGATGCTCCAGACCCAGATTGCTCACAGGCGAGTCCTGCCAATCTGTCACCCTGTAATAGATGACAAACCCCAATTAGCATGATTCGTGGCAAAGCCCCAACGTCAGTTTGAAACTCTTACAACGGTACGCAAAACCACCCCGGTTATTACAGAGGACTAGATGCAAAAGCCTAAAATGAAAGATGAATCCTTTTTATTCAAGCGATTGTGATAATAAAGGAACACACACAAGTGAACTTGGTAGCCGCCTGCACGGAGGGCACGGTGGGGCCGGGAGCCCCAGGTCCTCCGCGCCTCCGGGGCTGGCGCTGGCGGGCTGGCCCGGCTCGGCCCCCTTCTACACCCCTGCGCACTCCGGGAGGCTTCCTCCCACCCGCTGGGCCGCGGCCTGACTTCAAAGATTTTACTTTCTCAGATGCTACTGTCCTTCCATGCGAAGCGCCAGTTTCTCTTTCTTGAACAAGAGGTTAACATTTTTCTCTGACGTACCATGAACAAAAGACTTTGTGAAGTCTCTATTTAAAAATGCCAAGCCATCATTACATCACTTTCAGATTCTTTCCACATCTTGGCTCTGGCGGACCAGGCTGCGGCGAGCCTGGCACAGCGCCTGCTATGCGAGGACCCAATTTCAGTTCCTTTGGGTGAACACCCAGGAGAGGGATGGCTGGATCATACGGTAGTGCTAATTTAATTGTTTGAGACAAAGCCAAATGTCCACTGACAGACCAATAGATCAAGGAAAGGTGGTGTACACACACCACGGAATCCCATCCCCGGCGACAACACCTGGGGACGCATGCGGAGTTTAGGAGCCAGGCACACAAGGACAGACACTGCATGACTCCAGGTACGTGAGGGATCTACCACAGTCAAGCTCGGAGAAGCAGAGTAGGGTGGTGGGTACCGGTGGGGGTTGGGGGGTGGTCGATGGTGTTACGTTCCGGTTCTGCCGGCCAGCCAGGCCCTGAGCGCTGCTGTGCACCACCGCGCCTGCGGGTCGCACCGCGGTCCTGCGCGGGGGAAAATTGTACAGAAGACCTGTCTCTCCTTGTGTTCTCACACCAAGAAAAGCAAAAAGAAACTTTCTGGAAATTCTGCCAAAGGCAACGTTTTTGTCTATTGAGCATCATGCTTTTTTCCAAAAAAGAAAAAAAAAAAGGGCAAACACTCATGAATTCAATTGTGTTTCAGGGCTTTGGTAGGAGCCAAAGAGACGCTGTCACAACTGCAGCAGAAGACACCCCTCTGGTTTGTGACCCCTACCCCCGTGAGCGTAACCCATGTGCAGGCTGAACAGAAGCAAAGAGAAAGCAGCACTCAGGGTAAAAACAGGTCTCGGCGTTTGTGATGAGGATCAGAACAAACGGTAAACAAAATCAAAGCGCGCTTTTGGCAATTACATAGCACACGTTTTGGAAATAATGCTTTAAAACAAGGTGTTTCTGTTTTCCCTAGAATCAGTTAATACAAGAAACCCAAAGGGAAGTTACTACAATTTCGTTTCAAGCTAAATCTAGAGCTTTGATTCAAAGACGCCCCAAAACATAAAACCACTGGGAGGCTGGCTGAATGGCCGCGCTGCCCTCAGTTGGTCAGAGCATCTCAGAACCTGTCAAAGGGCTGGGAAGGGCCTTTTTGCAGAATTTTGGCTTGTGTTGAAATGTTGCTGGGGCAGGGGACATGGCTATATTTTTCCCTTGGATGCCATTGCCAGAGCATTAGATTACATGGGGTCATTTGTAACGTGCAAACGTGGAATTGTATGCATTTATTCAGAGGTCCCACCTCGAGGACAAGCATGTAACTACGGGATGGAATCTCGAGCCAAAATATAATCGTTGCTCGCCAATCATGCCAGAAGACCTGGGGGGAAGAGGGAACATTGAACTCTCCTTCAAAATCACTCCCACTACGAAACCCCCCTGGCCTAGAAGACTCCGCAAGGCACGGGGGAAAGAAGGGGCGAGTCCCTGTGTCCCGTCCACGTCCATTCGTTCATTCACTCCTCCAGCTCTCAGGGAGCACCTGCCGTGTGCGGGCACCGCAGGAGTGGGGCCCTCGCCCGCCCCGGGCCGCGTTCTCAGTGACAGCTCTGTGTTGGCCCGACACCAAGCCTGTCAGACAGACACTCTCTCCACACTGTGAAGCGACAAAGGCCTGGCTGACGGCCACCCCACACCCCCAGAAGTGCATCTGCAAGTCAAACATTGCAAAAAATAAAAAAATTAAAAAAATTAAATCCAGCCCCGGCCAGGTGACTCCGTGGGTTGCAGCATTGTCCCTACACTAAAAGGTCACAAATTCAATCCCCAGTCAGAGCATATGCCTAGGTTGTGGGTTCGATCCCAGGTCAGGGCATACAAGGGAGGCAACGGATCGATGATTCTCTCTCATCTCAGTGTTGCTCTCCCTCCCTCTCTGTCTGAGCACGTGCATGCTTCTCTCCCTGGGTGCTAAGGGCCTCATCCAGGGGGCCCAGAAGGCGCATCGCTCAGGGTCCTTGCCTGGAATGATACGTAACCAGTACAAAGGGCTGGGCGGGGATTCACGGACAGAACAAGGAAGCTGGGGCTTGGGAAAGAGGCTTCCCTGCCTCTCCCAACTCATAGTCAACCTTGTTTTTAAAATACCTTCCTGGGCTGGGGTGGGAAAACAGGAAGATATTTGTTAAATACAAAAGTTGTCGCCCACAGAGCGGTGCCCTGCTCTGCATGGAGCAGCCCCGGCGCTGGAGAAAGGGGTTCTGGGCAGAGAGCAAATCCCCCACCTCCCAGGGAGATAGGGAGACGGCGGGGGGGGGGGGCGGGGGGAGATAGAGGCTGCGCACGGGGACACCCCGCAGGGGTATGGCGGGGGGCGGGGCGGGGCGATCAATGGGAATTGTGCGTCCGGGGTTGCTGAGAGCCTACGGGAACCTCGGATCAGGGACAGTGAGGCCACCGCCGAAACACCAGAGAACTAAAAAGTTCACTCCGAGCCTTTGCGTGTCCAACGGCTCCCTGCCCCATCGTAAACAGCGGGGTGCGGTATATGACGCACCTGTTGACCGTATGGTCCTGCAGGCCAGAGGGAATGGAGGCACTTGGGGATGGACCAGCCGAGTGCTGATGCCGTGAGAATGAAAGCCGGGCCAGGGAGACTCCGGAGCCCGGCTGCGGGGTGGCCCAGACGTCCCAGGCAGCTGCTAGGGGCCGGGGGTTTCCCCAACAGGAGGCCGCCTGCCCTTGTCCCCTCCCAACCCCATCCCACTTTGTTGCTGCTTTTGCAGGTGCATCACCTGAGAAGTAAAAAGACCACAGACAGGCTCAGTTAAGGTAAAGACTGGCCTTTGTTAGGAAAAAATACTGGCCTGGGACACGGCTACCGGCCAGAAGCCGCTTTACATTCCAGGCCGCGCAGTGTGGTTACTTTCGGTCTCCGAGTTTGTGAGGCTGAGGCGCAGGCCTCCCCTGAGCTCGTCGGGGTTAGTGCGGGGCCCCTTTTCCCGCTCCCGGCGGGGCTGTAGGCACAGCGTGAAGCCTCCTTCCTCACTGCGCCCCAAACTGGGGACTCCCGTCGGCATGGGATTGGCCATAACGACCACTGGTTGACAGTTTGCCTTCCTCATTAATTTCCAGGACTGTACTGAAATACAGAAATGCTGGTAATGGTGCCGATGAAGGTTTTGTGAAAAGTGCCAACGCTGTGTGAGATGGAAACGTGTGTGACCCGCAAAACGCGCGCTGATCTGGAGCCGGCGGAGGTTCCAGGCGACAGGCTGTGGGTGCCCCGACCTGGCACCGCGGAGCGTCACGAAAGGCCACCCCGCCGACACCAGCACGGAGGGGCCCTAGGAGGCGAGCAATGGCTCGAAGGCGGCCCCGCCCAGGCGCGCTCAGGACGCTCTGCCTCTCCCGGTGCCCGGCCCAGGGTCGCGCCCTGGAGGGGCGGGGTCAGGGGCGGGGCCACCCCGCTCCCCGGAAGCTGCTGGGGTCGTGGGCGGGGCGGGCCGTGCGCGCCTCGACCGGGACGCGTCAGGCGGCCTCAGTGCGGCGGCTGCCGGCGGTGAGCGAACCGTGCCATCCCGGCGCGGGGCCGGGGCGGGAGTAGCGCCTTGCTCGGCGTGCGGAAGGGGCCGAGGCGGGCGGAGGGCTGCAGCCTCAGCCGGGCGGGGCCCGCGACGTGGTCGGGGGTCAGGTGCAGAGCACGGGGCCGCGCCACCGCCGGGTCCGCATCGCCGGCGGTGACAGTGGAGGAGGGTGTCTCGTTCAAACGGGGCCGGCGCGGAATCCGCGGCTCCGCCGGGCAAGGGCCGCAGCGCGGGGGAGCCTTCGTGCCGCGGAGCCTTTGTGGGGCTGGGCTGTCCGGCCCGGGGTCAGAGGGCCCCGGCTCAGAGGTCTCTAGCTCCCTCCAGCCTTGCAGGCCGGGGGTGGTCGGTCGTCCCCTCAGCCCCGGTGTTCTCACCTGTGAAATGGGCGCGGGCCCTGGCCCCGGGTCGTGGCCGCCACGCCCTCGGGCCGTGGGCCCCGCGGACGAACCTGCCCCTGCAAGCACCCTCCGTGACCACCTTGGACATCCCCGGCATCGGCGCGGAGGAGTGGGGGCCGAGTTCGTGGGCTCGCGTGTTTGGGATGAAGCCCTGGATGGGGCCTATTGGGGGTCCCCGCCCCTGCTGTAGCAGCTTTTTGCAGGGACTCTAAGCCGCGGGTCAGGCATTTATTTACCGCAAGTTCCTGCGGACAGGGGGACAGGGACGGGTTGGCAGGTGTTCGAGGCACTTCCAGGGACGCCACTCCCCCTCCCCTGCCACAGGGCGCCCTGTTGAAGTCTTGCCCCCCCTCCCGCCACTTCCCCAAGAACTTGGGGTGTCAGGAGAGGCTGCGAAGGAGGGACCTATTTCCAAGGGATATGCTCTTGTGGCCGAGCCTTTGCCTTAACAGAAGGGGTCAGCAGGCCCCAGGTGATGGAGGCAGAAGGGGTCGGGACAGGCTGGAAGCCATGGTGGGAAGGAGGAGGAGTCCGGGACTGTGCGCTTGGCTGGGCTGGTCCGTGGACTCGGCCCCGGGGAAGGCGCGGTATTAGTGGCTCCGCTCTAAGGGACTCTGGGGGAGGCCTGGGTGTAAACACATCCCAGCGAGTTTGGGGTTTGTGGTGGCCGATGACCAGGAACCCAAATAAAGGTGCTGGCCTAGCATAGTGTCATAGACGTTTCTGTTTATAGTTTTGGTGACCGGGCATGATAATTTGTCTTATTAAGGCCCAGGAACCCCGCAGGGGTGTCCAGTTCTTTGGTGACTCTGGGCCACCCTGGAAGAAGAGTTGTTTTGGGCCACACATTAAATACATCATGACACATAATCACAAAAAAGTCTCATATTGTTTTAAGTGAGTTCACGGTTCTGTGTTGGGCCGTGGGCTGGACATCCCTGTCTACATCCCAGTCTACAGCGTCCTGTCCGTGGGGCCCTTTCTGCGGACGCCGCCTGTTGCCCCCGGGGCGTGTGTTGATCCGTGTCGGGGCTCGGAGGCTGCTGTTTGGGGAGGAGGAAGGAGGCCCTGGGGGCACGCAGTGCGACCTCCTGTCCTTTCTGACCTCGCACTGCTCTGCGCAGTGCGGTGACTCCTCGGCCCCCGCGCAGCAGCACCCTCCCTGTCCCTGCGGGTGCAGTCACTGCTCCGCTCAAAAATCACCTTGGAATCCAGTACCACGCAGAAACGATGTTGCTTTTGGTGTGTTGGTGCCGGGCAGGACCTCGGGGGTCTGCGCCTGCAGGCGTCAGACACTGCCCTCCCGCGGTGCCGCCGGCCCTTTCCCGCCGCCTGTCGGCCCGAGCCGGCAGCTGAAGCAGTGTTGAAGGTCGTGACACCAGGGTAGTTCTGGTTTCACATGCGTCCCAAACGTTAAAGGCGGTCCGTCCATCAGAGGAGTTCCCTCTCGCGTGTGTGCGGGCCGGAGGGGGACGTGCCCAGTCTCAGGCATGGAAACGGGATTAGAAAGTGCTCTGGGGCCGGGGACAGAGAGAGATGGAGCTGCTTCTCCTGAGCAGGCCTCTGTACAGGTAGCACCTGTTGCCTTTGGCAGGCCCTGGACTCAGATCGCCCACTTCCTCATGACTTTAACTGCCTGGTCTTGGGCTTTTTGCTGTGTTGTGACATTTTTGCTGGGATGGGGGAGGGTGATTATCGCTTTTGTGGTTAAAGCAAGTGGAAAGTTCTCTGTGCTTCAAGAAAGAGAAAGTAAAATGTGTAAGTGCTCGTAAGACAGTGTTACTGGAAAGGACCTACTTCTAATTTTCACCAGATTGTCCTCCACCGGGCCCTTCCTTCATTATCTCACACCTTTGGTTACAGTTTTCTTCTGAGAAAGGCGGGGCGGGGGGGGGGGGGGGTGGGGATCAAGCTGAGCCTCTAACTGCAACCCAAGCTTTGGTTTCGTGGGCCCTCCCCTCGGTCCCTCCCTGGAAGCCACGTGGGGCCCGAGGGCTGGGAGGGCGGGGTCTGAGTCAGTGGCCCTGATTCAGGGCCTGTCCCAGGTCATTCTGGCCCTGTCTTGAGTCAGGAGTGACCGACTGCTTTTCCTCCCCAGAATCTCCAAAGTCTGCCCTCAGGTTGAACGATGTCGGTCCTCACTACCGTGTTCAAGTATGTGGATGAAAATCAGGATCGCTATGTCAAGGTAAGGGAAGCCATTTACACTGGTCAGCCGAAAGTCCAGCTCAACCCCTGGGGCCCGGGGAAGCTAGTGTGAGCTACGCTCTTCAAATCAGGGGTTAAAGACAGGCAAACACTACCTGTTCTCACTCGTGTGCCACCTGAAAATGGAACTCAGAGGAGCAGAAAGGCCAGCGGTGGCCCTCGGGGACCTGGGGGGAAGCGGGGAGAGGTGGGGCAGAGGGCACACACTCTCGGTTGCTAGACGACTGCGCGCTGGAGGCTTCCCGTGCAGCGTGGTGGCTGCAGGTAACAATGCTGCGTTGCCTGCTTGCGAGTTGCTGCGAGACTAGATCTGAACTGTTCTCACATCAGGAAAAAAGGGTACTAAAAACATGCGTGTGCGCACGCGCGCATGCACGCGTGTATATAATATACATGCCGGGTGGGGCAAAAGTAGGTTTGCAGTTGTTCACATGGCAAGTAATACAATAATAAAAATAATATGAGAGTGAACTCTGTGTCTCTTATACACACAACTGGAAACCTGCTTTTGCCCCACTCTGTGTGTGTGTGTGTGTCTTGGAGACTTTTTCCTTTACCCCCTCATTACAGTATAGAAGTTACATTTTTTGGCTTTTGACAGGAAATCTTGTGAGCTTTTTGTTTAATCTCCATCTGTAACTCCTTGTAGCTGACCTAGCCTAAAGGCCTCTGTTGCATTGAGGATGCTTTGAATGACGCGGTAGCACTGTAGAGCGACCCGTGTCTTGAGGCTGATGTGAGGAAGCGTGCTTTGACGTTACCGTTGGCAGACCCATTTCAGGTGACCTCTTTAGAGCTCTCCTTCCGAGATTTTCACTTTGGAGACCTTGGCCATCGTCAGGATGATAACCAAGCTGGCTTGGGCCGAAAATCTTGGGTATTTTCTGTATCCCTCAGTTGTAATTTTGTTAGATTCAGGTATAAAAGTATTTATGGGACTCAGTACCTTTTACATTCACCTCATGCTCAGTAGTTAAAAACACACATTCTGACGTTTTTTGTTATACTGTAGTTCTTGTTATAGGGTCAGTTAAAATAGGTTTTAAAAACCTTAAGCACAAAGTGGGTGTGAGGGACCTGTCCTCCTACACCTGGTCAACCTGGTCCCAGCGGGGTGGCCGCAGGGTGCAGGTCAGCGGGTGCCCCGAACAGGGCAGAAGTGTGGGTGCCTTTCTTCCTTGAAGAGCACCTCGTGAGAGTCCCCTTCTGCTTACTGTCCTCAAACAGAAGCTGGCGGAATGGGTGGCCATCCAGAGCGTGTCCGCGTGGCCCGAGAAGAGGGGGGAGATCAGGAGGATGATGGAAGTCGCCGCGGCAAACATCAAGCAGATGGGCGGCTCCGTGGAGCTGGTGGACATTGGAAAACAGAAGGTACGGGCGTGGGGCGGGCGTGGGGTGGGCGGCCAGTCCCTCCTGTGGTCTTCAAACGGGAAGGCCTGGTCTGCATACTCCTCTCTGTGTGCTTTTGGTTTCTTTTGGTGGACGGGGCAAAGATTTTGTCACCCTGGGCCTCTCTCTCCAGGAAGGAGAGCTATGGAGGGCTGCCCAGGAGGAAGTTCGCCCAGAGGTTGTATTTTGTAAAAAGCTGAGATTTCCCAGAAGTCAGCTGCCTTTCAAACGGGGCGGGGGCATTCTGTCCACGGAGGCGTAAACACACACAGACTCCCACTGTCCCCGCGCTCTGACCCTGGACCCTGACTGCTAGGAACAGCACTTGTTCTTGACAAAGAGGAAGCTCGGGTGGGGGACTGGATCCTGACAGGTGGCACTCGTCTGTTCTCTCCCTGACCAACGTGAGGAGTCCACGCCCCGCTAAGTCAGTCCACTCTTGGTTGGAGACGAGTTCAGGCCCACGTAAACTACGTGTTTCGTGCCGTGTATGTTCGAAGTCGCCGTATTATTTTATAGGGCAGGGTGTGGTAAGGTTTGGTTTATCTCAGGTCTCATTCCTGAAGGCGTGTCAGGTGAGGTCATCGTCCCTGGATTTTACATGTGGACAGTCAGCGCAGTCTGCTCTTTTCATGGACGGACGCGCCCAGACGCCCAGGTGGGCTGGGTCTCCACCAGGAGCTGCTGCAGCGTGAGGCAAAGGCGAGGAGAGCCGGCCGGCCACGGCTGTGGGCAGCCTCCCCGGCTGCAGATGTAGTTGTTGACTTGGATGGTTCACGGCTCCCCAGCACTTCCCGCCACTCATGAGAAAACAAACCAACTTTGTTTGCGTTACACTGTCTTAGGAGTATGCTTAGCTGGCTCCCACTCCATTTTTTCCTAGTGTATTAAAAAAAAATCTGAGTGGCAAACAACTTTTCAGAGCCGTTTCGTTGTAATAGGCAGGTCGAGGCTCTTCCGCACTGGCCCACGGCACAGCTTTTAGGAGAGGCCCTTCCCCGGGGGCGGAAGTGGCTGCCATGCCGCGGGGAATGGCTCAGCACCTGTTTTCATCTAGGAATCCACAGGTTCCCTCACTGCTCGTGCCGGTCCCCCATCGTGTCACTAGGCAGCAGGCTCTGGCCCTCAGGAAGCCCGGGGGCCGCGGATGGGTGTGGAGAGCGAGTGGACATCGCCACGTGCGTGCGCACAGGCGCTGGAGGGAGCTGCCGGCACAGGCTTCCGGGCCCTGGTGCCGGGCCTCGGAGCAGGGGCTCAGTGGGCGGGGCTGTTTGGGCCTCGGCCTTGCTGCCCGGGCCAGGGCTGCAGAGCTCAGTGGGGCCCGTCTCTGCGGCTGCTCCACGCGGCACACAGAGGGGCGCCTGGTCCGCAGGCGCGGGGGGGCCTGGTCGCCCAGGGCCTGACCCCCAGGCAGAGGGGCTCAGGAAGTGGGACAGCCGTGGCTCCTGAGCCCGAAGTGACGCGAGGGAAGAAGCTAAGCGTGTGCAGGACAGAGCAGGGCTCACTGGGTGCCGCGTTGGGGTGGTGGCCGCGGGAGTGGGCGGAGAGGAGGGTGCACTGTGGAATCCTTGTCCCGGGCACTGTCCCGACAGGCGCTCTAGTGGAAGGCGGGCGTTGTCCCTGTGACTCTGTCACTTTTGGAGTGGTCGGGGATACCCGGAGAGAGGTGTGCGGTTTGCGGCATGAATTTCAGCACAAACTTACCTATGGGACCGAACGGCTTCTTAGAAAATGCTGGATTTCAGAGCAGCTGTTTGAGTGGAGGTTTACTTAGAGAAAATCTGTTGTTGTTTGAAAACCATTTTCCTCCTGAGGCAAGCTGAGGACCAGCCGCGACCCCAGGGCCACGTGACCCGTGAGGCCAGGGCAGCGAGTGGGAGGCGTGGCTCTCTGCCCCGGTGGCTGCAGGCCGTCCCCGCGAGGGCTGCACGTGGGCACCTGCGGGCTCCCGAGAGCTGCTGATGCTGAGGGCGTCTGCGGGCCGTCCCCGTGCGAGACTCCCGGCGGCGGCCTGGCGCGCTCCGGGGGGGCCGTGCACGCCGGGGTCCCTCGGAGCCCCTGGGGCCCATGCCAGCTGCACCCTGACGGGCTCGTCCCTTTTCTCTAGTGGCTCGTCTACCTCTCGATTGTAAATCCTAAGTGTGGCTCCGTTGCCAGGTTAGTCTGTGTGTTTATTAGTGTGTGTTCCCGTAAAGGCTGTTGTCTAGTAACTAGACCAACACACACGGGTGTGATGGCTCTAGCGCAGAAGATCCTTACCCCGCCGCTGGCACAGACGACGTGTGCTTTTCACCCTCCCGCCCCCACCCCTACCCCAGCCGCTCGCTGGTGGTAGTTGTAATGGTGACAGGTGTCCTGTTGGAACATAGGAGCTGGGGGAGCAGGCGCTGGGTGCAGGGCATTTAAACTGGCGGCTGGAGGGCGCGCGGGAGGAGCCCTGGGTTTGCCTCCGCATCCTCGCATTCTGTTCAGGGCGGTGGCGGGGGGGCAGCACATGCTGTGTTGCTGCACAGGCTCCCTCCCTGCCGGACGGGGAGGCCGGGCCGGCGGCCTTCAGCGGCTCGTACGCGAGTGTGCGGCCCCCTGGGAGCGGTCGCTGCACCCGGTCTACAGCCCCATCTGTGCGGACTGGAATCCACGTACAGAATTTCAGACACCTGCCTGCTGCTTTAAGACTGTAGGGGTTCTTACCTATCATTTTAGAAAATACTAGAATAAGTTGCATCCCAAACTCACCTTTCATAACATGTTTTGTTGTATAAAAGTTACAAAAACAATCTGCCTTTAAAAACTTACCAAATTGCCTACAGTTGGTAAACACAATTCAGTCTTTCTTCTCCGGATTATAGGAAAGTGAATTCTTGTTCATTAATGACCCAGTTGAGCAATCCGATCTTAGCTCTGCGATAGAGGGTGATTGATGAGAAGGTATTTTAATAACGTCTGCCACGCACAGCAGGGTTTAAACAGAGGCTGTGCTCACTTGCTCTCCCCGCCCAGCTCCCTGACGGCACGGAGATACCGCTCCCTCCCATTCTGCTCGGCAGGCTGGGCTCCGACCCCAAGAAGAAGACGGTGTGTGTCTACGGCCACCTGGACGTGCAGCCGGCGGCCCTGGAGGACGGCTGGGACAGCGAGCCCTTCACCCTGCTGGAGCGGGACGGTGAGGACGCGCCCCCGGAGGGGCAGGGCTGCAGGTGCCGCTGCTGCGCCCCCGCGGAGCCAGCTACCTGCACACTCCTGGTCACCTCCCCTGGTCAAGCTGTCTGGCATAATGTAGAAACTTCTAGAAGGAAGCCGCCTGCGTGTGCACAGTCACAGACACAGCAGAATGGCCCCGTCCTGTGGGAGCAGGGGGTTGCGGCCTTCGGTCGGCTGGGCTCCCCTGTGTGAGCAGAGGCAGCGCAGCCCTCAGACACCGGTCCCCCAGGGACGGCCGATTTCTCGATGCGTCTGTGGCGCATTTCAGTACCTCTGCTTGGGGACACAAAAGGCGTTCGCCTTCCCTGCCCTGGCTGCCCTGGGCAGGGATGGAGGTGGCCTAGTTACAGCTGTGGACGCTGGCCTGCCGGGCAGGCACAGGCGCTTAGAGTCTTTACCTCAGACCGCGCCCCACCCCCAGGCTGACCGCCCTTCCCGCCCCTCTGCTGTGGAGCTGCCGCCTGCCCTCTGGACCGCCCAGTGCTCACCAGCCCGTCCTTGGCGGGCCAGGAGCCTGCTCCCTCGCCCCTTGCTCCCTCGGGCTAAGTCTGGGCTGTCCTGACTGAATGCCCTTGTCAGGAGGGCTTGTCACTTTGCCCAGTTCGGCCGTTTTCCTTGAGGCAGCGTCAGAGGACGCCCAGCCGCGAGCTGTGGTGCTCATCACAGTACCTTGAGCCAAGCGAGTGCCGACCTCCCTGCACAGCAGGCTCCGCCCTCACCGCTGTCGGGGACAGGGTCCTCACGCTCCAGCCTGCCCTCCCTCCTGTCCCTTCTCACCACCGCCCCCGCCACCGGCGCAGGGTCCCAGAGGTCAGCCTGGCCCAGGCCTGCCCCCCTTCTCCCCCACCGCACCTTCCTTCCTGCCCTGTGCTGAGCCTCCGCCCGACACCACCACACCTCCGTGCAGACGCAGGAACACCGCTCCCCTGCCTCCGCACACCAGCTTAGACGCAGCCCCTCCCCCGTTGCACTGGACACCCAGGCCCCCTCGGTAGACTCAGCGTCCGCCCCAGGGTGGGGGACGCACCTCTTCGTTGTGCACCCCTGTGCAGCGCGGCCTGCACACCGCGGTCACCTTGTCAGAGCTCATCCTGGGATACTTTTTGGGTTTAATTTAAAAGGAAATGCCCAGGGTGACGATGGCTTTAAGCCCCCCGCTCCTTTGGGGTGGGTCGTGTTAAAGCCGCCGACCATCGGCCTAGGGAGTGAGGAGTCAGAGGACGGGCCAGGACAGGGAGAAGCTGAGCCGGCGGGCCCTGGCCACTGCCGTGCCCTGGTGCCCGTGGGTGCCCTGCTCCCCTGACAGAGGGCCAGGCAGAGGGCCCAGCCCAGAAGCCCCACCTTGGGAGGGGCCCACGAGCCAGCCAGTGTGCAGACGCGGGACTGCGACCCCTTCTGCTGAGGAGCACAGCCCAGAGAACTGATAACAAGCCTGAGTTGGGTGGGGCTGAGATTTGCAGTTCTCCTGATAAGGATGCTCCGTGCTTCCCACTTGTGCCCAGCTCAGCTTTCTCGCCCTTATCACTGCCCGCTGGTTGTGGCAATAGATTTTAATAAGCTGCCTGCTGATAGCATGTTCCTGGGGCTGGGTCTGAAGTTTGCGCCCTGAGTCAGCAGGAACGTGAGCCCTGGCTAAACTGCTGCGTCCCTGGGGACCGGGGTAGGGGAAGGGGGGGTGGCCCAGAGGCATCCACGTGGCTGCCTTAGATGATGGCCGATTCTCTGGCAGTTCTGGCCACAGTGCTGGGTGGAGACTCGGGCTCCTGGTAGCATGGACATGGGGCTTCTGTCAAGAGAAGCTCTCAGGACGGGCGCATGTGGCTTTGCTAAGATGTCACCAGATGTTCACGGAGGATTCGCTCCCATCTGTCTCCGTGTCGTCATAACTTGATGAATTGGCTGCTCGCTCTTCTAGGCAAGTTGTACGGGAGAGGCGCGACCGACGACAAGGGGCCAGTGGCCGGCTGGATGAACGCCCTGGAAGCCTTCCAGAAAACCGGCCAGGTGGGTCGCCTCCCTCGCGCTGGGCCTGGTTCGCCCTCTTCCATCTGGGGCTGAGGGACAAGGCTGGGCTTGTCCAGATCACAGATCGTTGGGACGGGAGGCAGCAGCTCCCCCGAGCGCCAGCCTGGGACTGAGCGCCTAGGCAGCTGCTCGAGTGCCAGCTTCAGGAAGCCCCGCGGGTGTCCTGCCGTGCAGTGCTCAGCGGTCACACTTGGTGGCTCTGCAGCGGCCAGGCCCGCCTGGGAGGGGCGCTCCGCTCCTCAGGGCTGTGGTGGTGAACAGACCCCTTGCTCACCCTGCGTGCTCACAGCCTCTGAAAACACATTTGGTAGTTGAAAATGTGTTCCCTTAACTAGATGCACTCGTGGAAAGTTTGTAAAATGCCAAGGAGGAAAGAGAACAGGTTGCCTAGAATCTCAACCCTAAGAGATCTAGTGTTTTCTCAAGAGAGAGCAGCTGAGCTGCACGGGGGACCCCTGTGACGAGGGGACGGGTCCCCCTGAGGAGTGGCTGGCGAGGAGCTCTCAGTGAGGATGCAGCCATGGCTGGAGCCAGGCTCGTCCCCTGCCAGCCCAGTGCCTGGGGACGGGGGAGCCACTCGCGGACACCCAGGGCCAGCCTGGGCACTTGGTCTAGAGGAAGCTGGGTCCTTGAAATTGGTGATTCCACAGTATTTGGTGACTGCCTGTGTATTGTCTCTAAGACTGAAAGCTGAATGTGCGACACTCCTCCCTGTCACAGGAAATCCCTGTCAACATCCGGTTCTGCCTGGAAGGCATGGAGGAGTCAGGCTCTGAAGGCCTGGATGAACTGATTTTTGCCCAGAAAGACAAGTTCTTCCAGGACGTGGACTACGTCTGCATTTCCGACAACTACTGGCTGGGGAAGAACAAGCCCTGCATCACGTACGGCCTCCGGGGCATCTGCTACTTCTTCATCGAGGTGCGTGCCGCGCTCTCGCTCTGCACGATCCACAGCGGTCCCCCACCTACAGCCCGCGGACCCTCCCTGGCCCACGGGCACAAGCAACAGGAAATGGGCGCAGGCTCAAGGCGCCCACTCTCCCATGGCGGAAACCACTGCGGAGCTCCGGGCGGCACCGCTGCCCTCAGGCCGGGGTGTGCTCCTTGCCGCATCGTCTTGCCACACTGAGCAAAGATTGATTGCTAGTCCACCAAGAAGGCTGAGACTCACACAGAGCACTTTAGGAAGACCTCCTTTTAACAGGGGAAGCGTTTGGCCCTGGCTGGTGTGGCTCAGCGGGTTGGAGTGTCGTCCCCCAACCGAAAGTTTGCAGGTTCAGTTCCAGGCCAGGGCCCAGGCCTGGGGTGCGTGTTCGATCCCAGGCCAGGTGCGCACAGGAGGCAACCGATCAATGTTTTCCTCTCCATCGATGTTTCTCTCTCTCCCTTCTTCTCTCTCTAAAAATAACAATGAGGCAATGTTCTTGGGTGAGGATAAAAAAAGTGAAAGTGTTTGTATTTCAGCCCTTAAGCTCTTGTCCCATGACTGAGTGATCCTGAGGGAACTGGGACGTGCACTCAACCCAGACACCAGGGAGGATGCACCTGCCGCTTGCTGGTGGCCGAGCCGCCTTCTTCTGCTTTGCAGAGAAGGGTCAGGGTTCCAACGGCACAGGCAATGAGAAGGAAGTTAGGCCCTGCCTCTAAGGGGGTTTGTAGGCTCACAGGCGCTAGAAACAAGCGTCGTTGCTACACTGAGCACTCACTGGGGGCAAGGCGCCTTTCTACCTGCCGCACCAGTAACCCGACAGGGACGCAGCGGCCGGAGGGGAGCCGTCATTTGCGGCACCGCATGGGGAGCACGGCAGGGAGGCAGGTCACACCGTCCTGCCCCGCCCTGGCTGCCCAGCGAGGGAGCGGCGGGCCGGGTCCGGCCCCTGGCGCTCGGGCTCCATGTCCCTGCTGGCTCTCGGTGTTGCTAGTTCACCGGTGGTCAGTGTTCCTGGCTTACCTGCAGTTAACATTTCCAAGGTTATTTTCTTTTGTTGCTTCCTAGTTTTACAATTTAGGAAATGCCTTGCTTAGCTCATTGAGGGAGCAAATTTCGGTTTCAAAAGTTGCCTGTCAGGTCTTATGGATCTTCTTGGTTCAATTTACTGTCACATGATAAAGATAAGCTCCCGCCAAGCAGCCCAACAGCGTGGCCTTTGTCCCATGCAGGTGGAATGCAGCGACAGGGACCTGCACTCTGGCGTGTACGGGGGCTCGGTGCACGAGGCCATGACCGACCTCATCGCGCTGATGGGTAAGCGCAGCGCCATCAGCACCAGTGGTTTGGGAGGAGGGGGCGGGCGCTCCTCGGCTGGTCACCCGCGCGGGGTGCATTCCAGCACTCTGCGCGAGCCACCTTCCTGCCACCCCGTGGGGACCTCGCTCCCCCAGTCACTGTTCCCTTTAAAAGACTGGGGACCTCGGCGTCATTTCTGCCTCCCTCCTCCTTGGCCCCCTGCCTCCCTGTGACCCTGGACCCGGCCTCGCCGGCAGGACGCAGCTCAACACCCCTGGCTCCATCTGGCCCGCTAGCCCGGTCCAGCCCGTCCCCTGGAATCACAGGACTGTCCTTCCTCTGGGCACGTTGCGTGCCACGCCTCTCAGAGGGCGTCTGCTTGCGTCTTCTCGTGTGATAACGGGCCACAGCGAGGCTGCCGCATGGCCAGCTCCTTGAGAGCCAGGCCCGGCCCACCTGCCCCGGCAGCCCCGGCTGCCCCCCGGCTGCAGCCTCCTCTGCCCCCGCTCTAGTGCCCGCAGCCTGGGGAGGCGTCCCACTCAGGGCGTCCCGGCCGGTGGCCGGGGACGGTGCGCCTGCCCTTTCGAATCTCAGTCTCTGCCTTCACATGGGGAGCCAGCACCCGAGCGAGCCCGTGTGCCCAGCAAGGGTCAGCACCCGGACTCGTGGCCCTGCTCGGCCTGGGCTGCAGGGCCGGGCTGCCGGCCGCCTGCCGCCTGCCTGCTGAGCGCCCCCCGCCCCCCTCCAGGCTCCCTGATGGACAGGAAGGGGAAGATCCTGGTCCCCGGCATCCACGAGGCCGTGGCCCCTGTGACGGAGGAGGAGCTGGCGCTCTACGACAAGATCGACTTCGACGTGAAGGAGTACGCCAAGGACGTGGGGGCAGAGACCCTGCTGCACAGCAGCAAGGTGCGGCCCGGGCGGCGGCCGCCGCCGGCCCCGCGGGAAGGGGCAGAGGCTGGGGCGGGGGCTGGCGCGGGCGGCCGTTTCCCCGGGCACCCGGGCCTCCCGGCGGTGCAGACCCCCGGCGCAGGCCGCTCCCGGCTGTGCTGAGAGGCTGTTAGAAAGGTCACCTGCTGGCCAGAGACGCCATGGGAGAGGCAGGGCATGCAGAGTGAACCTAGAGGGAGGGGCGGCTATCGCATGTCTGCGTGCGGGGTAAGCTCCAGCCCTGGGTGGGGTGACGTGAGGCCCACCTCACAGAGCCTGTGCTCGGGCAGGTCGCACACAGCGTCCCTTACGTCCTGGGGGGAAGCTGTGTCGTGACTGGTAAGCAGCTTAGCTCCTGCTTTCGGAGGTCAGCTGGACGCGGGCCCCGTCCGGTGCAGCCCACGCTGGCTGCGCCCCAGCAACAGGCCTGGGGAGCAGGGGGTGCCCGGCCCAGCCCCTCATCTCTGAGAGACAGGTGGGCGAAGACGTGCCAAAGCACGCGTGGAGGGCAGACGGGCGGGCCCAAGCTGTCCCTCTGGGGGACCGGCCGGCGAGGACAGCCCGGCGTGGGCCCTGAGAGCGCCTGTGCTGTCCCAGGAGGGCGCAGCGCGGTCGGCTCTGAGCAGGGGCCGAGCTGCCGGACTCGCTCACACAGGTGGGTGGTGGGTGGGCAGCAGGGGCTGAGCAGGGCGGCCCGAGGGCAGTCAGACTGCTGCGAGGTGGGGGAGGGGACCTGGAGCTGGTGTCATGGGGAGGAGCAGGTGGGCGAGGGGTCACCTTGGGCTCAGGACTTACCTGCCCCTGGGACCACGGGGAGCGTGAATCAGGCAGGGGACCGGCTGGGCCCTGAGATGGGGACCAGGAGAGAGTCCCGGGAGGGACACGTCTAGGAAAGGTGGGTCCCAGCCAACTTCTGTTTCCTCCGGCCCTGCGGCCTTCAGACCAATGTCTGCTCTCACGTGAGGCATCGCTTCAGGGCCGTGTGCGTGTGCTCTTCGGTGTGGCTGGGCTGTCTGGCTCACAGGCACACCCTCCAAGGGTCAGGGGCGCAGTCACCGAGGAGCCCCAAGGGCGCCGCCAGGCGTCCCTGTGCCCCCCGCTGCCCAGGGGCTGTGTGGCCGTCCCCCGCTCGCCTCGTGCCACTGCTGGGGTCACGGGGCGTGAGAGGGGATGTATCGATCACGCGCTCGGAGACAGAGGGCAGCTCCGGGCCAGCCCTCGGCCACGGGTGACGATGCATGTCTGTGGCCACAGGGCCCAGGGGACAGTGGATGGTCCTGGCATTCTTGTCCCGTGGGAGCTACGCCCACATTCTGTGCGCTGAGGAGGGGTCAGTGGATAGCCTGGGTCAGGCCTCCCTCTTCCCCCGGTGCCACAGAGGCTCTGAGATCTGTGGGCCCGCCCCCACCCCCAGACTCCACAGAGCTGGCGGGTGCCCAGGGCTCCTGCATCTGCCTTGCTCACCTGAGTGGCCCAGAGCTGCCGTGAGGCCTGGACGTGGCGCGCCCTGGGCGCAGGGAGCGCAGAGCCACCCCACGGGGCCCTGTCGCAGGCACCAGCGCGCACCTAGGGCCAGCTGCTCTCCCAGCCCCGCGGGGCCCGCAGCCCTCCCTGCGCTGGTGCCGACGCCAGGCCTCCATGATGAAGGGGGCCCTCCCGGGCGAATTCTGTCTCCTCGAAGCCCCCGACCCACTCTCCGCTTTCTGCAGAAAGACATCCTGATGCACAGATGGCGGTTCCCGTCGCTCTCGCTCCACGGGATCGAAGGTGCCTTCTCCGGCTCGGGGGCCAAGACGGTGATCCCTAGGAAGGTGGTCGGCAAGTTCTCCATCCGGCTCGTGCCCAACATGACGCCTGAGGCTGTCAGCGAGCAGGCACGTGGGGCCCCGGGGGCCGCAGGGGGGGGGCAGGGGGCAGGGGGGTGGGCAGCGGCCAAGGAGCTTGGCAGGCTGCACAGCTGGAGACCCACGCCCGCCCCGCCCCGCCCCGCCCCTGGGCCCTGGCCAACTCGGCGGTTGCTGCAATGAGCAGTTCAGAAGCGGGTCAAAGATAAAGGCCCTATAAAACAGGGTGACACGGAAGTGACCTTTGTCTCTGCTGAGGCATGCCAAAACCTATGACCCCGCCCTAAGGCTTTGGGTCAGATGCTGATTTTGGGTTGAATACCTGAGTCCAAGGGGAGGGATGAATGCAGGAAGGGAAGGTTCCCAAGGGGCAGGATCTGGTAGCTGCGGGCCTGGCGGGCTTCCCAGGAGAGGTGGCCTGGGCAGAGAAGTTTGGAGGGCTGGAGGCGAGGGCTTCCCTGTTGGGAGAAGCAACGTTGGTCATCCAGGAGCACCTGGCTCTGTTTTTGGTGTGGATGTGATCGTTTTTATAAAGAAGCAGGTCAAGAAACATTTTTAAAAACTTAAATATAATCACATGGAAACATCTATGTAAAGGGTGGATTGCTTGATGTTAAAACATTACCTTTTACCTTCAAATAACTGGATTTTGATTCTTGATAAAATCCCTTTTTCTGTTGTCATAGTTAGGGCAGATCAGTGTTTAGCAGCAGAAAATGATACACGTTGTAGACCTGCTGTAGGCTCACTGGAGACTCATGGTAGGCTTGCTGTAGACCAGTCGTGAGCCACTGCGGGCTCGCTGCAGACCCTCGGCAGACCCGCGGGACGGTCCCCGCGGGCCTCCGTAGGCTTCCCGCAGGCTGGCTGCAGCCGCTGTGGGCTCACTCGGGCCTGCTGCAGAGTGCGTGGGGGGCCAGGCTCCGTGATACACTGTGTCTCTTCTGTTTGTGGTTCAGGTGACCAAGTACCTGACTGGGAAGTTTGCTGAACTGCGCAGCCCCAACAAGTTCAAGGTGTACATGGGCCATGGCGGGAAGCCCTGGGTGTCCGACTTCAACCACCCGCATTACATGGCTGGGAGAAGAGCCCTGAAAACAGGTCAGACCACCCCCCCGGGACGATGCCTGCCCTCGGCGCACCTGCGCGGGCTCTGCCGTGTCGTGTGGCACGTGGCTGTGTGGGGAGGCGCTGCGGAGCGTCGATGCGCCGGCGCGGGGCTGCTGTCCGGGGCCGCGCATGGGGTCCAGCCTCGGTAGGGCAGGAGGTAGGCCTGCGGGGGGCCCAGCTCCAAGGTTCACCGATTCTCTTCCTTCCTTCCCAGTGTTTGGCGTGGAGCCGGACTTGACCAGGGAAGGTGGCAGTATTCCGGTGACTCTGACTTTCCAGGAGGCCACGGGCAAGAATGTCATGCTGCTGCCTGTGGGGTCGGCCGATGACGGCGCCCACTCCCAGAACGAGAAGCTCAACAGGTGAGGCTCCAGGCCGCGTCCGGAGCTCGGGCTCGCCTCCTTGCGGGGCCCGCGGGAAGGCCCGGCGTCCCTGCCTCCCCCAGCCGCCCCCCTCCTGCAGCCAACAGGCTGTTTCTGGGGCCGGCCCCGTGCTCTCTAACATCTGTCCCGGGGGCGGGGGCACTCGGGTGGGGGCAGGGAGGGAGGCCCGTGGGAGGAGGCCGTTCTTCATGGCTCACCCAGCAGCTTGTGCTGCTCTCCGCGCTTGCCCTGCGGGCCCCGGAAGGCCTTGGGTGCGGCCCGACGTCAGGGCGGGCTGCTGGGGCTGCTCGCGCGCACCCCTGGCGTCCACGGGCACCGGGTGGCTCTCCCAGGCAGCGGAGGCAGAAGCGGGGGCCAGAGTGGGCAGTGGGCAGTGGGAGGAGAGGCCCGCGCAGGCAGGGAGCACCTGCGGCCGTCAGGAAGGGCTGAGGAGGACAGAAGGCAGGGCCACCTTGGGGTCAGGGACTGAGACAGGCCAAGACCCTGCCTGGGGGCAGGGGTTAGGGACAGAAACCTAGGTCCTAGGACGCGAACTGGAGGCTTCAGATCCAAAGAAACGGGGAGGCCGTGATAAAGGTACGGCCTTCCATAGTTGGGCTAGGTGAGACCCCACGCCCCTGGGGAGACAGGGCCAGGACTGGCTCCTGGTGGGACACGCAGTCTGAACCTGCACTTGGGAACCAGGTACCCAAATTCTAAAGTCAAGCAGAACCCGGGGCCGGCCAGCCAGGCCGGTGGGGCACTCCCAGATTGCCACTGTGTGCCTGGGCCTTGGGACACCAGCCACCATGATGATTTCTCCTCTCCATCAGGCGTAACTACATAGAAGGAACCAAGATGCTGGCCGCCTACCTGTACGAAGTGTCTCAGCTGCAGAACTGAGGGCACCGTGTCCTGTGCACCCGCCCTCCGCCCTCGCCCTCTTTTGACTGCTCAGGAGAGCCGCCTGTCTCCTCTTTCACACGTGGACACGAGAGCACCGGCCTGTCCCATGCATGATGTGGCCTGCACTGGGCGGTGACCCACGTCCAGTCCCGGGGGCTGGTCAGCAGCCGAGACCGTCAGCCGAGTTCTCAGGGCTGCGCAGCATGACTTGGTCTCCAGCTCTAATGGCACAGGTTCTTCTGTAAAAAGTCCTGGCCCACGTCCAGGCGGCTGCGCAGAGACCTTGGTGCTTCCTGGCCCCACCCCGCCTCTGGCTCAGGCCGGGCCCGCTGGGGGTGTCCGCCCGGTCCCTTCCTCACCTCTTGCTGTCCCACCAGTCTGTCCTTCCCGAACACTGTACCCATGGCGAACCTCTCCTGTCTCCTCCTTGCTGGCCCTCCAACCCCGAGTCTACCTGGAAGGACCGCGTGGTCCCAGTCTGTGCCGGGGAATAAAAGGCGCAGAGGCCGCCTCTGGACGTGCTGCTGCCCTCTGGCTCCCGGTGCGGCTCAGGGATGCGGGGCCTGTGGTGCGGGGGAGGTGGGTCTCCTCTCCCAGCCTGTCCCCCGTGCCTTCTGCTGCCCGGTGACCAAAAATGAAATCGAGTCGGTTTAAACAAAATGGGGGCTTTATTGGCCTGGCAGATGCACAGCCCAGAGTAAGTGGGAAGCAGGGCTGGTTCACTTGAAAGTCCACTTCGCTCACCGTGTTCACTCACAGGTCAGAACCCGGGTGGGAAAGGGAGCTGCTATTCCCTGGCCTTCTGCCTTCACTCAACAGAATGGTGGCACTGGAAGTCCTTCCAGCCCCCATGACCTCTCTGCCACGTCCAGACCCAGGGTCCGCCCCGCCCCCGCGTCACCCGTACAGCATCCCGAAGACGGGTTCTGCCACCTCCCTGTCTCCATCACAAACACCCCACGCTCCCTCCCAGTCCTCAGGGAGGCCTGTCCCAGGAGGAGACCCTGCTGTCAGCCACTGCACTCGGGGGACCCAGTCCTCCCAGCCGCCTGTGCAGAGGTCCTTGCACTTGACCTCGAGTTCCTGGTTAGAGGCGAGAAGCTCCGCCCACGGAGGAGGCGGCACACGGCACGGATGTGCTCCCCGGCACATCCGAGGTGCGGGCCTGTGCTGCGATGCTTTCCTGGTACTGGCCCCGGGGGCGGGTGTGGGGCCGGCCCTGAGAGAAGCCCCGCTGCCTGTCCTCATGCCAAAGGGGTGCAAAAGGGCGGAACTCGGTGGGCGCGGTCCTGGCCCTGGAGAGCAGGGGCCCAGGGGCGCCTTTCCCGCACTTGGCGGCGTCTGGGTCAGAGTGTGTCCGCGACACGTGAGGATCCTTAGACCACACTGTACAAGTTAGGGCACTGGCCGGGCTGCTGCGCCCCAACCAACTGAGGCTTCGCCTCGGACCGTGGAGACAGTTCTCAGCAGCACGAGGTCTGCACCGCCAGGCCGGGGCGGGTGCACGTGCCCCTCTGCGCCCGGTGCCATCTTGTGGTCCGGGCCTCTGCCCCACAGCCCGTAACCCCAGCTGCGCTTCGGCCTGGGCACAGGGAGGGTGGCGGTGCTGAGTTAGCGGCTGTCCCTGCCCTTGGCGTCTTAACTGCCAGGAAGGACTCCCGGGGCCGCAGTGGGGAGGAGGCCCGGCTGAAGCCCCTGCCGCTCGGGAGGAGGGGAGACATGCTGGGGAGGCAGTCTCCAAGTCCACCTGGTAACGCCATCACGGCACGATGGCATTCGTCCCAAGGAAAAGAGGGAGAAAGACTAAAGAAAACGGTAGCAACTGCATCGGCCCTGAGGCCTCGGGAGTACCAGCGGCGGCCGGGGGAGGGGGCAGCCTCAGCGCGATTGGCTGTTTATGAAACGCTGGTTGGTCAAAGCGGGTTGTCTTTAAGAAGCACAGGCATAGGAAGAACCTTTGGCCTTCCCAGCGCCTGCCTGTAGGATTCACTTCAAGGATCTGCCCAAGGAGGGAGCTGTGGTCATAGGTGACTAGAAGCGGGAGCCTCGCAAGGCCTTGACCCAAGTCCTCTCTGGGTCCCCTTATTCAAGATGGCCCAGCAAATGTGCGCTGTGTCCAGCCCAGGCCACCTGCCCGCGCCAGCAGTCAGCGCGAGCTCGAGCCTGACTCCAAGCCCCCCTGCGCCCCCGCTGGTGCCCGGCTGCTCCATACCCGAGATCTGGAGATCTCCGCCTCCACGTGCTGCATGTCTCCGCTGGGCCCTCCCGCCAGTGGCACTTGGGGGTGGGCATCGCCATGGATTTTGGGCTGAGCTTGTCTTTGGGGTCCAACTCACCCAGCAGACCCGACCTAGAGGACGGTGGAGAAGCTCATAGCTCTAGGGAGTGTCTGGGGAATTCTGTTTCTTGAAACTTCTTCCTCCACCTGAGTGCGTCCAGGCTGCCCTCCGAAAGCCACTTCATGAGCAGCTCGTACTTCAAGACTTGCTGCTAGAGTTCACCTGGGCAGAAACGCCCGGCTCAGTCCAGCTCCGCCAGGAATTAACGGAAGCCAGATAGGCCTGGGGAGGGGGTGCGGGAGGGGAGGGAGGTTCGGCTTTTATTTCTAATCCCGTCCTGGTTAGATAGGCCAATAAGGCATTTTCCTGTATTATGACAAACCCACCAGTTCAGTCTCGGGCAGAGCCGCCTTCCTAAAGCAATCACACAACCACACGGGGCCGCAGACAGCTGGTAAGTGGGCTCTTGGCACCCAAGTCTGGTGGCCTGAAGTTTCTCCCGGGAAGCGATTTGATGAGGGGCCGCTGTGTGTAGGGGCAGGAGCAGGCTGGGCCCAGGCCTGGGGGCAGAGGCGCCGGGGGGTGGGGGTGGGGCAGCAAGAAGGCTTTCATTTTGATTCTGCGCTGTTCAGCACACACAGCGCGTCCCGCCTCCAGCCTCGGTTCCAGCCGCCTGCTGTTTTCCTGGCAGGAGACAGCACTGTCCCAAGCGCCACTGGTTAAGGCAGCCCGTGGCATTTCGAGGGCACCATGAGCTAAGTACGCAGAGCTGGGAGGGAGGCGGAACCCCGAGCCTGCCGCGGGAGGGGCCTCACTGGGAGAAAGGTGGGGCGGTGGGGGGGGCGGACAGGACGTCTTCAAAGTGAAGGTGTTCGAAAGTGCAGCTCAGCGCAGGGGCCATGGAAAACCTCTCCACGTCTAAGGACAAGCGGCCAGAGTTAACAGGGTCCCACGGAGCTAACAGCGTGTGGGGTTTCCTGGCCCCACCTGGGATTCTCCCAGTCACTGGGATTCTCCCAGTCACTGGGCCTGGGCTGCCTGCCCGGCCAGGCAGACTCTGAGATCTGCTGCTGCTCCCGGAGCCCCACCCCTTCCTGTCCCCCAGCAAAGGCCAAAGCCAAAGCCAAAGCCAGGAGGAGCCCTTCCAGTTCCTGGGGAGAGAGAGAAGCAATGCGTGCCCTGACAGGGAATGGAACCAGCAACCCTTTGGCTCGCAGGCTGGCGTTCAACCCACTGAGCCAGTCCAGCCAGGGCCCAAGCCCCCAGGTTTTGCTCTGCACTTAGTTGGAAGTCAAGTGTGACACTCTAACCCAAGAAAACAAACAGAAAGGGAACAGGGCGTGGGAGACTGGGGGGAGGGCAGGGACCCCACCCAGGGTTTGAAAGCCCATCTCTGCGGCACGACCCGGCCCACACACCCTGGGTGCAGCGGGACAGCACACCGCGGGAGGGCAGCCCTGCGGGGGGCGGTGCCTGCCCTTCCTGTGGGGAAGGGCGGGGCCTCCGCTGAAATCCCAGCCCTTCTCTGCCCTTCCTTTCTGCTTTCCTCCTGTTCTTTAAATGCCCCCTTCTATTTTTCACTGGAGAGGAGCACCATCCAATTTTTCAATGTAAATAGAATGGGTCAGCTGCAAAACAATAGCCCGCTCCGTGTCAGAGAGCCTTTGCTGGGCGCCCAGAGCTTCCTCCCCTGCTGCCGGCAGCCCCGGGGTACCATTCCTCGTGCTTCCCGGGAGCCCGTGGGCCTCGGCTCTGCCGGGCGGAGCTTGGCCGCTCCCACCCCCGGGCCTGCTGGGACAGGGCACAGGATGCGCAGGAGCAGCTCGTTGGCGCCATCTGTGGACCAAGCTCTTGATCCGCTTGGGAGTGAGCCTGCCTGGCTTTGACCGTGAACGTACCACTTCTCAGCTTCCTTCATAGACATTTTTCATATGCGATCACACATTTACATTACCGAACGAGTGTTCTATTTATGGTTATTATTCTCATAACAACTGCACTGCAGTGTAACTCACATACCTTACAGCTCACCCATTTAAAGTGCGCGATTCAATGGTGTTTAGTAAATCCAGAATTGCACCATCATGGCCGAAAGCAACTTCAGAACTTTTCCTCACCCCCAAAAGACCCCCCCGGGGGTTATCACCAGCCCTTCCGCGCCTCCCCCGAGTTCTGCCGCCCGAAGCAGCCCCAGCCTGCCTGTCTCTCGGGTCTAGCTGCCCTGGCACGTCCCACCCGCCGGCGGCCCGCGCGGCCCTCGGAGTCCGGGCCCTCGCCCGGCGCAGCTTCCCGGCGCTCGCGTGGGGCGGCGCTCCCGACCCCCTCGCGGCTGAGCAGCACTGCCGTGTGCGCTCACGCCGGGCCCTGCTGACCCGCCCACCCACGGATGGACGCCGGGCCGTGCTGCTGTAAATGACGTTACGCGCGCGTGTCTGTGTGGACGCGCGTCTTCCTCTCTCTCCAGAGCATCGCTAGGCGTGGAGCTGCTGGGCAGAGGCTCCGTCGGTTGAGGACAAACAGGCTGTTTTCCAGAGCGGGGGCGCCGCTCTGCGCTCCCTGCAGCAAGGCCCGGGGTTCCCGGGTCCCCGTCCTTGCAAACACGTGTGGTTATCTGACTTTTGGGGTTTAACTGTGAGAGCTGGTGTGAAGCTGTGTCTCGTTTGACTTGTGTTTCCCTGATGGCTAACAATGCTCAGCGTCTTTTCATGTACTTAATCGATCATTTAGGTATTTTCTTTGGGGCAAATGTCTATTCAAATTGGGTTGATTTGTCCTATATTATTGACTCGTGGTGGTTCTGTATAGCCTAGACACACGTCCCTACCGTCCTTCCCTCAGCCCTGCCGGCGCCGAGTTCGGGCCGAGGAAGGGAGCCGTCTAACCCTGACACGGCTCTAAGAAATAAAGTCTATTTTCAAAGTGTACAAAAGCCCACAAGGAAGGGATGCTTTGGATGAAGGGAATGAGTTAGTTCCGAGCCTGGAAGGCCTGCCGTCCGGTTTTCTGCCTGCGGCATGGAGCCACCATGGGGGTGAGGGATGACCAGGAAAGGCGGGGTCACAGGCAGGTCCCACACGGACCGGCGAGGGAAGGAAGGGACCCGTCGGAGACAGAAGCAGAGGTTGGAGGGAGAGACAAGCAAGCCACGGGTCGGCGGCCCCCGGTCAGCAGGGTGGCCGACAGCATCCAGGTTCTCTTCAGCTCCTCCGGGTAACGTATCGAAGCGCGACCTGTGCGTTTCTTTGCAAAGTGCTCTGGCTTCAGGGGCTGAGGGGGAGAACCCCCCCCCCCATGGTAGCGCTGCACAGGATTTTAGACAAGTCCCTACAAAACGTATTTTCTAATCAGGTGGTTAATCACACGTAAAAACTTTGTGTTAAAAATTACATCCCACTTCTCTCCCTACAAACACTGCCCTTGATGCCACGCATGTTGGGTTACGATGCAGAGGAAAGTGACCAACAGGGACGACTCCGACAGGAACCGAGTGACAAAGGTGGTTTAGCGACAAGCTCCGTCGGCTTCTGGCCTCATTTCAGCTCTCAGGCGTTGAGAACGGAGCGTCCGGGGAAAGAGCAAGCGCCAGCGAGGCTTGCCGGCGGACTGCCTGTGCGATCTCAGCCTGGGCGCTGCCACGGCACAGGCTGGCTGGGAGGCTTCGGAGGGGCGAAGTCCAAGCCCTGGCACTGACTCTGATCCGCCCCTGTCGCCCGCTCGCTCACAGGTGGCCTCTCCCGGCTCTCCTGCTGCCACTCCTCGGAGCCATGTCCTCACCGCCCGCCGGGCTGGTCCAGAAGCTCTTCCAGTACATTGATCTCCATCAGGACGAGTTTGTGCAGGTCGGAGAGACTACACGCGGGGTGCTGGCGGGAGATCCCCTTGGTGTCTGGGTGAATGGTCGGTTGCTGGGAAATGTGGGGTTTTTGCCTGACATCTTAATTCCGCTTGACGTGCCCGCGATTCCCCATTGAATGAAAACAGTCACTGTTTGTTAGATTCAGGGGTGAGGCCCCTCCCAGCCATCCCTCCTGAAAGGGGCGCTCAGTTCCTTTCAGCACCCCGGCCTCAGGATGTCCCTTGAGCGGCGGCCAGCACACTTCGTGGCGCTCACGTTTACTGTGACCCACCCTCGCCTGCCCTGCCGCCCCCCGGGAACGGCTCTCGCTGAGGCTCTCTCCACCCCCCAGTCCGGCCGAAACGCGTCCTCCCCCAGACGCCAGCCCAAGGCGATGCCTCCCACGGGCGCCAGCTCCAAACCCAGGGTCCTACCTGTTCGGGGTCAAAGCCGCTCGTTTATAGCCCTTGTGTGACACGCATTTATCTCCTTTGCTGTCCTCTGCTTTGTCCCTGCCTCCCTGCAGGGCCTATGTGGGGGCCGCGGTGGAGAGGGAGGCCTGGGGAGGGAGGCAAGGAGGGGGTGAAAGGCCAGTGCTGGGCCCAGTCTCCCCGCTCGTCCCACTCCTTCCCTGCTCTCTGCCCCACGCAGGCCAGGCCCCCGCCCCAGCCCAAACGCCCTGCGGTTGCGCCCACTCTGTATCCCTGGGACACGCCCGGCACGTGTGTCCAGTACATGGCTATTTGATCCACATTAGGGCCATTATTGAGCATGTAGAGGACGAACCTCTGTGTTTCGTGCTAAAGCACAGAGCTGGATGTCCGGGCCGCTGTCCCCAAGCTTCACGCCCACGGGACCCTGCCTAACGCAGGCGCACCACCCGGACCAAATGCTTGCTGCGCTTTCAGCCCCGAGCGGGGCTCCCGTGGGATGGGAATCAGTGGGGTGTAGGGTGGAATCAGTGGGGGAGCCTTGCGGATTTGGGCCTTTCGCCCCAAACTGTCCTCTTTGCAACTTCCTCAAATAACTTAAATTTAGGGACAACCCGGGAGCATCCATTCTATACATTCCAGTTTTAAAATGAAAACGCAATATTCCATCAGGTCAAACTTTTTTATAATGAAAATGCACGTGCTACAACCAGGACAGAGACCAAACCAGGGCGACCAGGGAGCCCAAGGTCAGGCGCCGGAAACCGGCCAGGCGTTTGATCGAACTGTCCCGCACAAGCCGCTCCAGTGCCAGTGCGGGGGCGGGGGTGGGGGGGCGCCCGGCTCTCACAGCCCACACGAGCGGGGGTCTGCAGAGCCAGTGGCCGCCGGGCTGAGCCTCAGCCGTGTGCCGCTCACTGAGCCCTGCCGGGCGCGGAGGCTTGCTCGCTTCTCCCAATTCGCCCACTCTGTGCCCAGTTGCCTGGGTTCTCCCAGCTGAAGAAGCAATTCAAGGACATGCACGGAGGCTCAGCACGTGGGCACGGTCGACTATGAACTCGACGTCCAGCCCTCTTCCCTCCCGGGAGGCGGGGGGCTGAGGCTGAGCGTTCCGAGCTTCCCACCGCAGCAGCTTGGTCTTTCTGGCGGCCAGCCCTGCGTCGGGGGCCCATCCACGGCCGACGCATTGGAACAAAATCTGCAGTCGCCTGGGAGACCCCACGGGAGTTGGGAGCCTGAAGCAGAGGGCAGACATTCCTACAGGGGTCCTGGCGCCTTCTCCACTTAGGAAGCTGCGGAGGCGCTAGGAGCTCTGGCCAAGGGCGTTGTGCTCGCTCTCCGTGGGCAGAGGAAAGGCCGGGGCCGAGGGCGCTTCTGGGACAGTCCCCCGGGCAGCGCTGGATCGGGCAGCGGGGCGAGAAAGGGCGGCTGCCCGCCTGCCTGGCCCGAGCTCAGACCCTGGGCTGCGCTGCCTTCCGGACCCCAGAGGGGCAGGCCGGGCCGACCACAGAATCGAAGGGGAAGGGGGGTCAGGAGGAGCCCTGAAGCCACAAGGTCACCGGGGTCAAGTCCGAGGTCCCGAGGCCTTCGGGGCCACATGGGAAGCCAAGCCCCGGAGGGGGAGGTGAGCTGCTCTCAGCGCTGAAAATCAGGAGGGGGCAGAGCCGCCCTCCCTGGCGACGCTGGAGGACCCCAGGTTTTGGGGAAGACAGCCTCCCCCCAGCCTTCCCTGTGCCGTCCCCCTGCCCCCACAGCCGCTCTGCCCTCTGTCTTCCCGCTTATGCACCTCGGCTTGTCCCGGGGACTCCTGCCTAGTGCATGTTTGGCAGCCCTGCCCTCAGACCCAGTGCCCTGCTGCCTGCTCACCGCCCTTCCCCCTTGCCTTCCAGATGCTCAAGGAGTGGGTGGCCGTTGAGAGTGACTCGGTCCAGCCCGTGCCCCGCCTCAGACGGGAGCTGCTCAGGATGACGGCCCTGGCCGCAGCGGCGCTCCGGCGCCTGGGCGCCCGCGTGGACCTCGTCGACTCGGGCGCTCAGCAGGTGCTGGCGGTGCCCCGGCTACCGACGAGCTGCCACCTCCCGGTGCACCAGCCTGCTGGCGCAGGGGCGGGGGCGGGGCTTGCCCGGACCCTCCATAGTAGTAACCCCGACCCCCCTTCGGATGCAGATTTCCTCCTCAGCTCCTGTCCTGGGGGTGGGGGGACAGCTCGAGGGGAGGAGGCACGTGAAGGGCAGCCGATTCTGGAAAGGCCCGTGCTGTTCACATCGCGCACGCAGGCTTCGAGCTGACTTTTCCCTGAAGTGCTGACGCGTCGTTCTTGAAGGATCCGGCCTCTCATCGAATCGCTGCCCGTCACAGCCACCTGGTCACCAGGGTGGTCTTCAATCTTAGCACCCGGCGCCGCCTGGCTCAGCGCCCGCGAGTCTCCAGGGGGTTCCCAGCCGCGTCCGCCCTGTTTATGCCAGTCGCGTCCGAGCTCCGACGGAAGAGCCCTGGTCACGTCCCCTCCTTGCCGTCTGCGTCTAAGGAAGCGCTTCGTTTTCATGGTGTTGCCTGTTTGAATTAGCAGTGTCTCGTGGTGCCCCCCTGAGAGCGGACAAAGGGCGATGGGGCAAAGAGCCGGGCCCATGAGGACCCGGGGGTGGAAAGGGGGCTCCTGAGGCCCGGCTGCGAGTTTCCCGGAAGAGCCGAACAGCGTTTATTGGACAAAAGTGACCCATTTTCCTTCCACAGCTGCCTGATGGTCAGACCCTCCCGGAACCTCCCATCATCCTGGCCGAACTGGGGGCTGCGCCGCAGAAGCCCACCGTGTGCTTCTACGGCCACCTGGACGTGCAGCCTGCGGCGCGGGCAGACGGGTGGCTCACGGACCCCTACACGCTGACGGAGGTGGACGGTCAGTACTCCCACGGATATGGGGCTGCTCACGGGGCTTGAGGATGTGAGAGGGGCCCCTGTCCCTGGCTTCAGGTCTTAGCCTGTCATTGAGAATGAACAAAACGCGCCCTGACCGCGTGGTGCAGTCGGTTGAGCATCGATTGTCCCGCAAAGCGAAAGGTCGCCTGTTCAATTCCACAGGCCCGGGTTGCAGGTTCAGCCCCTTGTTGGGTCAGGGCACGTGGAAGAGGCAACCGGTCGATGTTCCTCTCCCTGTCTTTTTTCTTCGCTTCCCCGCCCCCCTAAAAGGCCACTCTCATGGTTTACAAGCTTGTATGCGGAGGCCGATTTTCTTGCATCTGAGAAAGAAAGCACAGCCGTGCATGCCCCTGGGTGAAGTGACACCCCAGGACAGAGCTCGGGGCTGTGAGGGACACAGTCCTTCCGGTCACACGTTTTCTTTTTGTTTGTTTATTTACTTTTATTTATTTATTTTTAAAGAGGGAGAAGGTGGGAGAAAGAGAGGGAGAGGAACATGGATCGGTTGCCTCTCTCACGCCCCCTACTGGGGACCCGGCCTGCAACCCAGGCGGGGGCCCCGCCCAGGAATCAAACCGATGACCCTGTGGTTTGCAGGCCGGCGCTCAATCCACTGGGCCACCCCAGCCAGGGGACACATTTTCTTTCCAAAAATACCAAATGCAATGTTTTTTAAAGACAAGAAGACAGGTTCATGGAGACGCAGGTACCCTTTTTGCATCCTTTTGCTAGTTGGGACGTCTCAGACCGAAGGGCTGGTTTCCGTGACATTCTGTAACAAACCCTCAGGTCCTTTCCCATGAACGTGGAGGAAATAGCTAATTACCCTTCAGATCCAAGTGTTTCAAGTGAGCTTGCGTTTCTGACGGGCTCGCGGCCATGCCGTTTGTGCAGGAGAAGCCGTGCTTGGCGAGTCCAGAGCCAGGTCCGTGCCTGGAGGGAGGAGGCCGTGTTAAAGGGGCGACCCGCAGGGGTGACCCGCAGGAGTGACCCGCAGGACGGCCCTTGCTTGGAACTCACTCAGCTTGGCAGAGGTCTCCACGCCGCTCTGAAAATTCCTTCCCTGTTTTCAAGGAAAACTTTACGGACGAGGCGCGACGGACAACAAAGGTCCTGTTCTGGCGTGGATTAACGCCGTGAGCGCCTTCCGGGCCCTGGAGGAAGTAGGTGGCCGGCGATGTCTGGGAGGGAGGGCGCTGACCACGACCGGGGCAGTGACGGGGTCGGCGACGAGGAGGACGCCCCTGCACTTCGCAAACGTGCGCCGTCCCAGTCACGCGAGTTTCGCAGGCGAGGAGGCCGAGGCCTGCCCCGCTGGCCTGGGGCAGACACGGCACCCTGCGCGCTGCTGGCCGCGCGAGGGGCAGCGTGCGGCAGAGGCCGGGACGAGCTCCTCTCGGCTGGGCCTTGCCTTTTTTACCCTTATCTTGCTTTCCCTTGTCTTTTTTTTTTTTTACATCCCCCCCTCCTTTGCACACAGTTTGATTTTATTCATAGAGACAGACGTGCACTTTAAAACCGCATCAGCTGCTTCACCAATTACCCAGCTAGAGGCCCTGGCAGCTGAGACATTCCGTCTGAACCTTTAGATCTCTTTCTGTTATTGGGCAACGTCGTTTTCAACAGGTGTCCCCTGCCGGTCCTGGGAAGGCAGGGGCCCTGCCTCGAAGCGGGGCTCCCTCTCTCAGACCGACCACGCCGGGGGCCCAGGCGCGGGTCTTCAGCGGCCCGAGTGTCCTCCCCACAAGGACGGCTGCCCCTCACGCCTCCCTCCCCGCTCCTGATGCGTCTGCTGGACTCCCTACGGAGGCGTCCGTCCAGCAGTGTGGCCCTGGGCAGGGGCCAGGGGCTGAGTCTTGCTGGGCCTCAGGCCCTGTTCAGTCCCCGGGAGGGTGCTGGTTGAGTTCTGACACAGAAACGGCCCTCACCCCCATCACCCCCCCCCCCGCCCCGTGAGTGCACGCGCGCCGGGAGCCTGGCCCTCGGCTCCCCTACACGGATCCTGTGGGGCTCACCCTCGAGGCAGGCCGCGGACGCCTCCCCCGCACGACAGCCCTGACTCAGAGCACCTGTGCACCTGCAGCCCGAGGAAGGCAGCTCGGGGCCGGGCCTCCGGGCCTCGCTAACCCCACCCAGCCTCTCCCAGGAGCAGGCGGGGCAACGGGCCAGGCTCCCGGCGCCGGCCGAGGCTGAAATATCCGGGGGGCACGGACCCTCACCCCCCAGTCCTGCCCCTTGGTGCAGGGCCTGGTGTGGCGGTGTCTTTCCTTGGAGGACATTTCATCAGGGGCCAGGGACTTTTCCTTCAGGAGTGTCTCCTTCAGGAGCTTATTTCCTCCCGGGACACAGCAGGAGAGGGGTGCTGCCCCGGCGCGGCCGCCCTGCCTGGCCGGGGAAGCCGGCTTGCTGCATCCGGTGGATGTCTGCAGGGCCCCCTGGCCACGGCTGCCTGCCCTCCCGGCGTGCACACCAAACAGGCCCCAACGCTGCATCTGGTTTCTCTCCCTCTCTTTTTCTCCTTCTTGGATTCTCTCCCTAGACTTCCTCTCAGTCTCCTCCCTCCCTCCCTCCCTTTCCCTCTCTCTTTGTTTCCCCCCCTTCATTCTTAAGAGAAGCAAAGCAATATTTATAACAAAGTCCTATATAAAGGCCAAAATCTGCTTTGCTTTTACGTTTCAACTCTGAAACATTACAAACGAAATGTAAGAAATATTCTCTGCCTTTGGACCAGTCAGTTAATTCTCCCTAAGTCTCTTTTTCCTCGTCTATGAGTTAGGAATGGTCATTCCCACCTCTGGGCAACAAGTGGGGTAAACGAGGGAACACAGTCAAGGTGCCCTCGTGCCGACAGACGCCGGTTTCTTCTTACCTGTTGGCCGCCCGCCCTCCTGTCCTCTCTTCCCGTCTTGTGCACAGACTTCTAACCATGCGTCACCTCCCCGGTGGTCTCACCAACAACCAAAGCAAGAACCCATGCCCATACCGCACAGAGAGACCAGAGAGCCGCCCAGCGGTGAAATGGCTCGTCGGGGTCCCTTGGGCGTCCAGGGACAGAGCAGAAACCAAAACCCGGGTGTGCGTGCTGGTCTGCCATCCCCCTCCAACCCTTAGTGGCCGTTGGCTTGTATTTTATTAACCACACTTTGCCAGAAAATTCTCAGCTTCCCCACTATTTCTCAGTCATTGTTAGTTAAATGCGACTGAAGAGCTTTCGAGTATTAATATTTTGGAACTGCAGCTGGACTTCCTAAGACGAATAGAAGTGTAGGCAGGTGATACATTTGAGTCATTACCCCCAGTCACCCTTAACCGATGGATGGCCCAAGGTCACGCTTTCTAACACATAATCTCCGCTCAGCCCGCCTTTGCTAATCTTCAGTGAGTCGATCCCCCTCATTAGCACTAATCAGTATGTTTGGGCGTCGTTGGTCTGCATATCATCACTTCTAAAGTCTCCTAGGCATCTCCTGCCTCAGGAAGAGACTCTGACCTCCCTTTTTCATGCGCCCTGCAGAGATACAAAGTTATAAATTATAGAGACACAATAAGATCAAAACCAAATGGGGGAAAAGGCACATTGTAAAAATTTTAAAGGCGCTATTCCCTGCCCTAATATTAACTGGTGAAAATTCCATTTTTGCTGCATGATCAAAGCCTTTGAATAAGTTAAAAGGCTGGCTGAACTCATAGTTGAAAAATAACAGATACTTGAAATAAAAATTATCCTGAGGCTTAAACATTAGACAGCCTTTCAAAGGAAAGGGTTCTCATTTATCACACTCAGAATTATGAGGACAGAAAAGAGATTAGTAATTGAGTAACCTTTCTTGGAAAATTCCTTTTGGGGAGAAAGAAGAAAGTGAATCTCTCTGGGCCAGCCCAGCAGAGCTCTGTGGTGTGGACGCTGCTTTTTTAACGATCCCCTTCCCCAAATCCTTTACCCACGTTAAATCGATGGGCCGGCCTGCAATGTCCACGCTGGGCATCACCTTGGATTCTCCTTCACAATCTGTATTAAAACTCCTTGGCTACCAACAGGGATGCTGGGGATGTGAATGGCCCACGCGTGGAACGCATATAATGACCGACCGTGTTTACGTTAGGTGCCCTCTAATCCCCGGTCTCACAGAGGGAACGCGTGAGCTGTGCCACGTTGGGAGGGTTTGTTCCACTGTTAGTTTGCCCATCAGGACCTCCCCGTGAACGTCAAGTTCGTCCTGGAAGGGATGGAAGAGGCCGGGTCTGTGGCCCTGGAGGAGCTCGTCAAGAGGGAAAAGGACGGGTTCTTCTCCACCGTGGACTACATCGTGATCTCCGACAGCCTGTGGCTCAGCCAGCGGCCTGCGCTCACTTACGGGATGCGCGGGAACAGCTACTTCACAGTGGAGGTAGCGCGCCGCAGTCGTGGCAGGGGCGCACTCTGTGGGAGCAGAGCACTCCCGGGTGCTGGCCTGGGGCACCGCGGAGGCTGGGGGCCTGGGAGTTTGTGAAGCTCCCACGCCGTGAGCCGTTGTGCTTTGCGCTTATTCTGCAGACAGGATTCGAACGTCCTATGACCCACAAGCCAGCTTTAGGCCCTGCAGCTGTGGCCTCCGGAGGCGGGAACAGCAGCCCCAGGGGTGAGGGGCTGCCCCCAGCTCCTGGGGGCGAGTGACAGTCCCTGCTCCTTGGGCCTGGCTGCGCGGCCGGGACGGGAGCGGAGGCATCGGGCCATCTGGCCGCACCTTGCACACGAATGGGGCAGGGAAGACCCGCGGGGCCAGAAGGATGGGAGGGGTGGGTCAGAGAGACCGTGAAAAACCTCATCGGACCTGGTAGCGGATTGGGTGTGCTGGGCCCAGGAGGGATCCGACATCACATTATGGCGATAGGTTAGCAGGAGAGGGCCCTCCTTGTTTGGAAACAAGCAGGCTGGCAGGAAGTCGGCGAAGGAGAAGATGCTGGGTTGCCTTCCAGGCGTGAATTCAGGGAGTGGGGACACGGTGGGTGGGTCAGACCGCGGGGACGAACAGGCGAGAGCGTGGGCTGCGAAGGAAACCCGGGGAGCGGTCCTCGGAGCTCCGAGCGCAGCGGGAGGCTGTGCCTGAGTACGCTGTGGCGCTGGACACAGCGCGGAGGCTGCCGGGGGAGGCCCGGCAGGGCCGTCCCGCAGGCCCAGAAAGCACGCAGAGGCGGAGCTTCCTCGGAGGCCACAGGAAGGGGCTGTTTCTGGAAGGAGGGTGAACAACAGATGGGAGCAAAAGGGAAGGCCCAGGCCCACCAATAACTTGGTGATGTTGGATAGAGCCGTGTGTGTGGTGGAGGTGGGGGCTGGAGTCAGTTCCAGGGGGTTGAGGACGCCTGGGGAATGGAGACACGGGAGGCGTAGATGCTCCAGGGCACGTGGCCAGACAGTCGGAGGCGTGACGCCAGGCGTGACGCCAGGCGAGCCGCCTGAGTCCCCAGCGACGCCGTTGGGGCGGCTTCCCCCTGCGGGAGAGCAATCGGCGGTCACCACAGCAACGAGGGCGCTCAGCACCTGTCTTCCCGCCTACCTATCTTCCAGGTGAAGTGCAGAGACCAAGATTTCCACTCAGGAACCTTTGGCGGGATCCTCCATGAGCCGATGGCCGATTTGGTGGCTCTGCTCGGTACTGTCTTCCTTCACTTCACTTCTTAGTCACCAAGGGTCCGGCTACGATGCAGCTCTGTCTGACCCCGTGCGCCTCTCCTTCCTTGGCTCCCCAGCCAGCCCCGAGGGGAGGCGGAGCAGGAGAGAAAGCAAACCCTCCTGCCGCCCCTTGGCTAGACGACGTTCAGGGGCTTCGTAAGTCCTTGTCACGTTTTTCATGGGCCGAAACTCTCCCTGAACTTGCGCCCTTTACCTTTGCTGCGCACTGTGACGCATCCGGCCCCACACAGACAATGGCACAGCACCGAGACCTCTGGAGAGGCTCTCGGGGTCGGTGCCAAGCAGGTCGGCACCATGTGGCTTCCTTTCTCCACGGTGCGGAGGCCCCGGGTGGCACAGGCCCCAGGGAGCTTGCTCCCCCCTCTCCCAGTGCCCCGGGCCTCATCCAGACTTCGCCACTGCCCTTTGGGGCAGGGCTGTGGATCGTGGCCCTGAGTTACGGACTCCCCCTCAGCCCAGTGAAATGTATTGTATATTAAGGTCATGATACAAACCCAGTAATACAACTGAGGTCAAAAAATTAGTTGGGTGCTGAGGGGGTTGGGACTGGCTGTCACTGGCTTGCAGCCCGCCCTCTGTCACCCTCACCCAAGTCAAAGCAGGACATAAGTCCTCCCCGGCCAGCGGAATCCCTCAGTGTCCCCTCGCCCTCAGGGTGTGCCCCGGACGCTGCTGACTGGCCTGCGTGCCAGGACGGGTTCCCACGGGCTGTGGGGCTGGCGACTTAGTGGGAGGATTTGGGAGTGTGTGCGGCCACATCGGGGGTGGGGGCAGGGGTTCATGAGGGGTCTTTACGTGAATAAAAGCGTGCAGGTGGGCGTTCAGAGCGCTTTCCCAGGAGGGTGGGCTGTGCTTGCGGAGTCTCGAGCCTGCGTCTTTCATAGATATTCTTTGATGGTCCCCTCACTCCTGTTAGCCCCCAAAGTCTTTCATAAATGACAGCCCGCCCGCCTGCTCACTGCAAAGGCTCTCGGGGCCCCGTGTGCAGCTCACAGACGAGACCCCAATATCGTGCTTTGGATTAATGACGAGTATCTATTATGTTATTTCGGTGTGTGTAGGGGGGTAAGAAGTGGAGAAGGAATGCGATATTCAGTTTCTCAAGTATGTGTGTGTGCACATACAAATGTATATCTAAAATTTTTTATAATGAACACATTACTTTTTAACTTGGGAAGATAAAACTTCTTAGAAGTGTTTGATGTTTGTGATATAAAAGGTATAGTGGGGAACTTGAGTGTAATGCAGGCTAAGTCAAATCCTGCAATTTATTGCGAATCCCGGCTTCCATCCTCGTGTCGACGAGGTCGACGTGAAGGCGGGTCTGCCGCGGGCCAGGCCTGCCTGGTGACCAGCTCCTTCCCATGACCGTTGTGTCCAGCTGGAAGCCGCTGCCAGTGGCTTGGCCCTGGGGACCAGAGCCAGGCACAAAGCCTGCGGCTGCCCCCGAGAGTCGGTCGCCTGCGGTCCCGCTCCAGGGCTGGGCCGTCGGCACATGCATGTGATCTGTGTGGCTTTGCTCCCCGTGCGTGCCCCGCAGGGAGCCTCACCGACTCCTCTGGCCGGATTCTGGTCCCTGGCATCTACGACCACGTGGCTCCTGTCACAGAAGAGGAAAGGGAGCTGTACGCAGCCACGGACCTGGACCTGGGAGAGTACCGGGCCAGCGCCCAGGTCAAGGACTTCCTGTTTGACACCAAGGTACGGCAGGGGTTGACGGGTGCACGCAAGGAAGGACGACGTGAGTCACGCTCCCCAGCGCCCTGTGTGCTGTGGGCTGCGGGTCCCCACAGCGGAGAACTGAGGGCCGCTGCGAACCGGTGGCCGACCCTGCCTCTCGGCCATGTCCCCGGTCTAGATCCACCAGACCCGCCCTGGGCCCCTGACCACAGAGCGGCTCTTCGTTTCGCAGCCCTGCCTTCCCTCATCCGCTTGTTAGACTCAGTCCCGCGCCAGCGGGGCTTCCCGTCTGTTAAAGAGCGAGAACCGTCTGCAATGATTCCAGCTCCAAGACTCCCCCTTGACCCTCTGTCCAGACCCAACCCAGGGCCTCAGGGCTGCTCTGCAAAGGGCGGCATCACTGCCTCAATGCAGGAAGTAAACCCAGAGCCACAAGTGACGGCGGGCATAAATTCAGATGTTTTCCTTTTTCCTTCGTCGTCACCGCTTCCCTCTGTGCCCGCTGCAGCTGCCCCCTGGGGAGGTGCCAGGGGAGGGCGGTGTCGTCGGACCCGGGGGGCAGAGGTCACTGCTTCCTGCGGCGGGCTCTGCGGTGCCCCCGTGGGAAGGAAACAGGGCTGAGAAACTGCCCCGGGCACCTGCAGCGCACTTGCACGCCTTCTGAGCGACAACACGCATGTGGCACGTGAGTTGTTGTCGTGCTGATTGGGGATGGAAATCTATCACTGAACTCAAGTTTCTGAAAGGGTCCCCTTGCCATCTATTAACTGGAGACTTCAGAGCTGAGGTGACAAGGGCCCTTGTCCATGAGAGTGGCCTGGGCAGGTCAGAGCTGCCCAGGACCTCGTGTCCTGAGGGAAAAGTTCCCTTTTATTATTAGTCCAGATGGGGCCACGCAGGGTGACGATGAACTCATCATGAACGGTGTCGCAGGTGCACGGAAAAGGTGCTTACCGTAAGCAGTGCCACTGAGCTGGTTTTAATCAGCCATTTTGGACATAAGAAGATAACTTTATTTTAACTTAGGAGGAAATTCTAATGCACCTGTGGAGGTACCCGTCTCTCTCCATCCATGGGGTTGAGGGCGCATTTGATGAGCCTGGGATGAAAACCGTCATCCCTGGCCGAGTCACAGGCAAGTTCTCCATCCGGCTGGTCCCCGCCATGAAGCCGCCCGTGGTGGAAAGGCAGGTGCGCAGCCTACTTGCAGCCCCCGCGCCGCGGCCCCCAGCGGAGCGAGCCACCTGCTCGTGGCCGTCCAAGTACCATTTCTTCCCAATACAAAAGGGACGGGAACAAACGTCAAAAACCTGACACAATTTTTGTTTGGTAACAATCCCTTTCCATGGTTCTATGCGATTACAGGAGTCGGAGTGATGGAAAATCTTAGAAAGTTAAAGGGTAGCTATAAAGGCAGGGTTGGCTTTGTACGCCGAGGAGAGGCTAGCTGCCTAGCTGGCCGGGTGGAGCCAGACCCTCTCAGGCGCCAGGCAGTGGTTTGTCCACGCGTCTGAAGGGAACACTGGCAGGGGCCATTAGTGAAAGTGTCTGGAAGGGCTCTAAGTCCAGGTTGCCTGCCTGTCATCGGTTTACCTCGAGGTTAACACAAAGTGGGCTCTGCTTGAATGAGCCGAAGATGCACTTCATCCCAACCCTCTGCACCCCGCTGTCCTGCCTCACTGTCTTCCCAGCGTATTCCATTCCAAAATACTCGCCCCTCCCACACCCCTCCCCCTCCCCCCTTCTCACAGCACGCAGTCCCTGAGGGGGTGGCGCCTTGCTCACAGCTATTTCCCCAGCACCTAGACCTGCTCCTCCCACAGGATAGATGTTCCGTAAACACCTGTGTGGTGACGGAATGAACGGAAGAAATGTCTCAGGGTCTGGAGTTCTCCTGGGGCGGGGCAGTCGACAGCAGCAATGGGGTGGAGCCAGGGGCACAGCCAAGGACGCTGACAACAAGGCCCCCTCCCAGCTCAGCATGGGGTTGCTCCCACAACTGTCTGGAAGGGACAATACATCCACAAAGAGGGATGTTCTAGTTGAGAACTTATACCTGTATTAGGATGCGTAATCCCTCAACATTCATAATACTCCTATTACACACGTTATGCATAATATCATTCAAGTTTCACAGTTGCCAAGATTCCTACCGAGCAAACGTTAGCAGACACCGTGGTCAGGATGGGTTAGGGGCGGGGCTGGCGGTGGAAAGAGGGGGTGAGAGCACGTGCTTGTCCCACGGGGCGAAGCTCGGTCCCGGAGACCCCGCTGCCTGCCAGCACCCCCTGCAGAACCAGGTCACAGCCCTTGGATTGGTCGGTTGGGGTTTCAACGCTTCCAGATGCAAAACTGTAGTCCTTGGCTGAGGGAGTGACTCAAAATGTTCTCTTACAGTTGAAAATGTTACCCTTTAGGTGAAGCAGCACCTCCAGCGTATCTTCTCCGAAAGAAACAGCTCCAACCAGATGTCTGTTTCGATGGTGCTGGGCCTGTGCCCGTGGATCGCCAGCGTTGACGATAGCCAGTATCTCGCCGCAAAGCGAGCCATGGAAGCAGGTTGGACTTTCGCTATTTTGAGCTACCAGTTTGCAGTGGGACCGAGGGCTGGTGCCAGGGGCAGGGGCAGTAGGTGACACAGGGAACACGCTAGGATGAGGGTGTTGATGGTGCTTCTGGTCCAGGCTGCCTTGCTGGGCGGGGCCTGAGCGAGGCTCTGTACACGCCCTCTCCTAAGTGTGTTCCCCCTCCGCTCCAACACCTTGCGCTGCGTCACCCTTGCTGTGACGGTGGGGCTGAGGGACGCCTCTGTGACTCGACAAAGTGAGCTGAAGGATGCAGGCGCTGTTTAAGGCTGGAATTCTCCATTTAGTGTTTTCTGACCGCGGTGGCCCATGGGCAACTGGAACCCCGGGAAGGGAAACAATGGATGAGGAGGGGCCGCTGTGTGAGAGACGAGGCCGCGGCCTCCGCCGTGGGCTGGCAGCGCCGGGCTCTGGGCCCAGACCTCGGGGGGACTCAGGCTCTGTGGGGGCTGTGGGGACGCAGATGTGAGGACTTAGAGGAAGGGCCCAAGGCCGGCAGCAACTCCTCGCCATTCGCGCGGCCCCCCAGTGTAGCGGTATTTTACCCGCAGAACGTGGGACGGAAGGAAAGAGGAGGAGTTGGGAGATCACTGCCTGCCTGGGGAAGAGGGGCGTGTGGCTGAAACACCCGGGCCGATGACGGGGGCGCCGGACGTGCTCTCACAGGAAGGCGGGAGGCCCCTTTTGGTCTGTTCGTGTGCTGAGCCGTGAAGCACGTCACCGTTACTCACACGCACGCCTCTCTCTGCTGGTAGAGCCCACACGGCGCGTCTTCTTTTCCGTCTTCAACTCGTTTTGCCCTCCCCTGCTTCAGGGGCAACTTGTCCTCTAGCCCAGGAGGTTTGACACGTGTCCTTTTAGACCCCGGGATATCCATCCATTAAACTGTTTCAGGGGACACATCAAACTCCAAGTGCAAACATTGAGACGTTCCGGCAATCTATAGCTATTTATTAATATATTTGTTATAAAAACCCCCAAATCTAATTCCCACTTTGCTAATATTTAATTCATGAAACAACCATACAAGTAGGTACATCATCGGTGACATTCTTGCCAAAAATGCATGCCCTCTTCCAATTATGAGAAAACAGACAAACCCAAATTGAGGAACATTTTAGAAAACAGCGGATCAGTACTCTTCTCGAGGTTCAAAGGTCATGAAAGGCAAGGAAGGAGTGAAAAACTGACACAGGCCGCAGGAGACTGAGGCGCAATGACAAACTGCAATGTGGGATTCTGGGAGAGAAGAGGGGAAGAGTCGTGACATTCACACAAGGTCAGAGTCTAGTTAATAAGATTACTCCAATTTTAATTTCGTATTCATGATTATTATTTAATAGTTATAGAAGATGTTAACATTAGGGAAGCAGAGTAAGGGGTACAGGAGAACTCTACTATTTTTGCAACTTTCCTCTAAGTCTGAAATTAGTTCAAAATAAACATTTTATTTAAAAACACTTTTAGAAGCCGGCAGTTGTAAAGAAGGCGACCGCGGCTTTCTCCTGGAGCCTCCTGTCTGGTCTAGAACATGAGCTGCATGGTAGCAGGAGCTCGCTTGCCCGGTGCCACCCGCAGTGGTGGTTCCTGGGCGGGGTCTTGTCATTCGGTTATTCCAGTGCCTTCCTCTCTGGGATGGCAGTGTTTGGAGCAGAGCCAGACATGATCCGCGATGGATCTACCATACCAGTTGCCCAGGTATTCCAGGATGTCCTCCAGAAGAGTGTGCTGATGCTTCCGCTCGGCGCCGTGGATGACGGAGAGCACTCCCAGAACGAGAAAATCAACAGGTGGGGCCCCGCCGCCGCCCCCGGCCCCGGAGCGCAGAGCCTTGCGCATGCCTCCTACTTCAGATTAAACTCACCCCCTCAGGCCTTCCTGTTCCAGTTGCAGACTGGTTTTCCTCTGTCATTTGGGTGGAAAAAACCATGTTCCTCTTAACCTCTTTCATTAGGCGGAACTACATAGAGGGATCCAAAGTATTCGCTGTCTTTTTCCTCGAGATGGCTCAGCTACACGGAAAACGGCAGGACCTTCCAGCTTAGCTCAGACCAAGGGACATATCCCCCCTTCCATCCTTCTGGACAGGAGTGGAATAGAAATATCTGGAAAATTTTGGTCAAGAAAATGATGTTTTCCCTCCCATTTAAAATATCTTTGGACATCTGGATACTAATATAATATCTTAAAGGCACAGACACTGGGCATGGTTTAATGGTCCCACTGCATGTCTTTCTAAAGTCACAGCTGCCTTCACCAACTTGACCTCCCCAAGTCCAGCGGCGGCAGCCCAGGGCTGGACTTGCTCTGCCCTTCGAGCATAAGGACTGGCCCTGGCAACGACCGGCGGAGGCACTGCTGCCCGCTTCCTCGGCCCAGCGGCCCTCGCGGCAGGGGAGCGCCCCATCTGGGCACTGCTGGCGCTCAGCTGCCCGGCTTGTACCGCATCCTCCCTTTGTATTGGTAATAAAAACTTTGGTCCCCACCGCTGACCACCATCTTCCCTGTGGAGGTGTTTTTAGAGGAGCCACTGAAGCATGAGACCACGTTGACCTCTTGCTTCCCCTTCATTTAATTTTCCTGCTCTGGAAAGTTCTGAAACAGAAATGACCAGTATGCAAATTCTCAGACCATTCGGGATGGCTTGGGTGAAGATAAGCACGTTTTCCCCGAAGCCTCTCTACCTTAGTTAGGGTGGCTGCCGCCCCACCACCCCTCCCTGCTTCCGTTCTTTCCTCCTCTCCACCGTGCAGGCCCACGCATGCTCGCCCACGTCTACGCGCACGCGAACCTGCCACGGCAGGATCAGCCCTGAGAGAAGCTCGCTCAGCCTGCTGGAATCAGACTCAATGACTTCATCTAAATTGCTCAAGGCTTTTAATAGCATCAGTGATAGATAGAGAACTAATCAACCCTGACATCCGTAACACAGTCTCTATTTAAAGCTATCAGCCACCGAGCATTCATTAATCATTTTAGTTAACCGTCTTGTTTTGCTTGATTGGATTTGATGGTGTAAACAAACAAACAAATAAGAATGTAATTTTTCTAAGGTTGAGTGTATGTAAACAAATCAACTCGGTCTTTATGAATTCATTATCTAAATCACATAAATGGGGAGGAATTTAAGGGTTTATTAAAAATGTTTCTCTTATGCTTCCAAATAAAAACAAAGCATCACGCATTCCAGCTCTTTGTCTGCTCTCCCTGACTCTGCTCACAGAGAGGGGACCTCACAGACAGGGGACCCCAGTGAAGCCCCAGCCTGGAGGGGTTGCACAAAGGGTCCTCTTCTCTGACTTGAAAACATCAGGTCCTGGTGGCTGAGTGTTGGCAGGTGTTTGATAGTCGTCGCTCTTAACCGTGGTTCGTGCTCCAGATTACACTGGATTGTGAGATGTTCTGGATTTGGTGGGACCTACCTGAACTATTTGGCAGAGTTCCCAAGATCTAACTGTGCCAGAGGCCTGTGATGCTAACTTATGTTTTTAAAAGGGTGTTCAGATGAGCCAATGAACACAAGCTGGTTGTAAAATATGTTGTGACCCACTCTGAGCAAGGGAACATCAGTGTCACCCAGTCACTGAAGCGTATGACCTCATCTTGGACCTTCAGTCCTGCCGCTGATCGGACACCGGCGGTGCCTTGGTTAATTATCAGGCAAAGGAGGTCATCAGGTCCAGGAGGTTCCAGCTGGGGAGGCCCGAGTCCAGGGTCATGATTTTCTGCCTCCCCCGCCCCTGGCTCCCCTAGGTCCCTCTGGGTGGTCTGCCCGGCCGCCAGCCATCGAGCTGCTGGGGTCCGGCTGAGAGGTGGGCGCCAGGACACAGGCACCTTCCAGCAGGGTCCGCTCAGAGAGGACCCAGAATCCCACCTGGCTGTTGGCCAGGAGACCAATTAATCAGTTGTGAGAAGACAAAGAAGTTGAGGGGAGAGACATTTAAGTATTTGCTTTACGAAGTTTATTGAAGAAATACATGCACGTGGATAAAAGTGATCACCCCGTAGGACATGCCTGGGGGTATGTGGGGACGGAGGGAGCTGCCCGGTGCTGGAGGGGGCCGTGCGTCAGGGCTGGGGGCGGGGCTCTCAGTTGGACTTGGTGATGCTCGGAGTGTGCAGGACTGGGGCCGGTTCGGCTTCCCGCTGTCTTCACAATGTCCAGGCGTGCCGGCCAGGCCCCTGGGGGAGTGTGCACGGAGGGAGCGCGCCTGTCGGTGGCACACTGTCCGCACTGGCAGCCCGAGGGCAGCAGGACACGGAGGACAGGCCAAGGACTTGCTCCCGGCCTCTTCTCCCCCGGCCTCTTCTCCCCCGACAGCCCTTTGCAGAGCTCCCCTCCCCCGCCTTTCCGCCCTGCCCGGCCCCCCTGCTGGGAACTGCCCAGTCCTGGTGTTTCACACGGAAAGCTTGTTTCTTCCCAAACGGAAGCTTGTTTCCAGTCCTCCCAAGTCTTTTCCCTCTGGGGTTCCCTGCCCTGGTCAAACGGACCTTTGGAATCCTGGGTCTTCTTGGACACTTTCCTCTTCCAAATCCAGTTCAGTATCAGGACCCGCCGACTCTACTGCTCAGCAGCCACCACGCCCTTCCTTTTCCACTGTCACCCCCTAGAGCCTCTGAGCCAAATCCTCTCCCTCTCGGTGGGTTAGTGCAAATGCCCCAACCTGATCTCTTTGCTTACCCAGGAGACCTCTCCAGTGTCCCTGTCACCCTGCACGCAGCCTGTGTGTCCCTCCGGCCTGCTTACAACCCTGGAGTGGCCTGCTGGTCACAGGGCAAAGTCCCCATCACAGCAGTGTCTGCAGAATGTCTGTTCTCTGCTGTCTCCTCCGGCCTCGCTCTGTCTCGCTCCCTCCGGCCCGGCAACCCCACCTTCCCTTCCCAATCCTGCTGGTCTCCCAGACAGAAAGCTCGCCTGCCCAGAGGCTTCTCTGTCCCTCCGGGCCTGGCTCCCTGCCCCCCACCCTCAAGCCTGGGCTCCACGTCACTCCAAAGATAGAGGGGGCGGGGGAGAGAGGGAGAGAAGAGACATCGATGTGAGAGAGAAACATCGATGGGCTGCCTCCCGTACATGGCCCGCCCAGGGGGTCAACCCACAACCTTTCTGGTGCGTGGGAACGAAACTCCAACCGACTGAGCCACCTGGACAATGCTGTACTATTTTAAATATATTAAATGTCATCAGTTATTATTTTTAATGCTTTCTTTCAGCATGTTTATTAACTACACATAATAGCCAACAAACTAAATAACAATTTGAAGTCTTGATTACATAAGATGAAATAAGGTTTTTGCTTCTGTGATAGCACCTCTACGGTTAGACCTGTCTTGCAGCTCATGACAAGCAAAGCAGCTGAAACCAGGGCCACACGCTGGCCTCTCCTGCGCTCCCACTGACCCGCCCGGCGACCCCCGCCTGCTGCTCTGCGGAGTGTTTGCCTCACGAGAAAGAGGGCCTTCCCTCCCACTACACTGCAAACGCTCAGTCAACTGACGAGGTACAAAAAACAGAAATACAGATTTTCTGAAGCAAAGGGATCTCTTCTTTTTCCTTCCCCCCAGCACGATGTGAGAGAATGGATGGTAGGTGTAATGACTGTAATTTCCTAACAGTTATGGTAAGTAAATAAATGCTTCTGAGCCTTTAACATTTGGGTAGATTGAAGAGAACGAAATGTCATTATGTGGGAAAATTATATTTAAAAACACTGTTCTAGGGTAATTTCTTATTCAGAATGAGAAAAGATGTCATAGAAATTATGCCTTTGACTGTAATAGAAAATATGAAGTTTTAAATCATTTCGCCTCCCACATTGAAATTCACCAAAAGGCATTGAGGGAGAACTTAGATGTAAAGTTCTAGGGTGGGTGGTTAAGTGCTCAGGGCACACTGCCGCTGTCTGTCACTGTCACTCCTGGCAGGCGTTTGTGATGGCAGGAAATTCCAATTCAAAGGACATGAGAACTTTAAAGGACACTGTTCGAGTAAATCAGTGATCAAAAATTAGTCACCCAAAATGACCAATGTTTTCTTTCAAATTTCACATAATTATGCTCCAATAAAGGAGGCTGTCTAAACTTTAAACCCCCCGGTGAAGAACCAGAAGGCCAGCGTAGGCCTGTTCCGTCAGCACATAGTGAGGGAACGGAGCTTCTGGAGAGTCACAGAGGGAAAGTGCCAAATCCTGCAGATTCTGCCTCGGTCTCCGGAGGACTGCTGACCCAGGCACGTGCAAGGTGGACTTCAGCCTCCCCGCGAAGGCTGCTGGGGTGTGCACACAGCCCAAAGAACCATCTGCTAAAACAATACCAACACCAACCAGTCTCTTCAGAAGAACATAGCTGAATTCAGAATCACTACATTCTGTTTGTTACTCAAATGTCTGGGATACAGATCAAAATTACTTGACACTGAAAAAAGAAGAAAACATGGTCATGATTAAGAGAAAATGTGGCTTAACCAGCAAGAAATAAGGAAATAATCACTTGCTGCTTTTAGCAGGTGACAAGAGACAAGAGAATCAGGGAACATGTAAGATAGACCAACCAAAATTATTCAGTTTGCAGGTCTGAGAGAAAAGGAATGAAAATAAATGAACAAAAAAGAGCTTCCATGAGTCATATACAGTATCAAGAGATATAACATATATTTTATTGGCATTCAAAAGAAGAACGGGGACATCAGCCTCCTCTTAAGGAGCCTCTTTACTGGGACAACATCCTGGCCACAGGGCCAGGTTAGGAGGAGCGACCTATTGAGAGTGAGTTTGGGGCGTCAGGCTGGGGAACAGTCTCCAGCGTTACTCAGCATGGACAGATCCAGAGGCTGTGGCATCACCACTTTGAGCTTCACTTTTCTTACCTGTAAAATTAATGCCCTATTTAGGGAGGTTACAGGATTATATGAGCTAGTGCATCTAAGGTTTTAGTACTATGCTGGCATTTATGGAGTTGGTATATCTTCTTTCGTACATTATTTTTTCCAATGTGCTATAACAGAAATGTTTCCTATTCATTATCTAAATGTATATAAACTTATATTTATATATGTATATATTTTCCTGGTGAGACACAGAACATTATCGAAACTTTCCTATATTCTTGCTTTTCTAGAGCACCGCATAAAATACAGTAGGTGCTTACTAAACAATTTATATTAGACTGTTACTATAATTTAGAAAGCTTATTTTTTTATTTATTGATTTTAGAGAGAAACACCAATTTGTTGCTCCACTTACTGATGCATTGCTGGTTGCTTCCTGCATGTACCGATTGGCGAGCGGACCTGCAACCTTGGAGCGCCTGGATGATGCTCTGGCCCACGGAGTGTCCAGGCAGGGCTGATTTCTAAATTTTAGGACCTCTTCTATTAATACAATTTCAAAAGAAAGGAACTTTACCCTAAATGACTAATTTTACACCAGGAGAATGAGGTTCAACTGACTTCCTTAAGGTCACATTGTGATGTGAATGGTCCTGAATCAGCAAAACAATGGATGATTGAACAGAAAAATCAACTCAGATATCATTTCACTGCTAGATGAAAGAAGATGAAATGCTAACTGAATCCCCAAGGTGAGAAAAGTGGCAGGATTCATCACCTGGAGACCAACTGATCACCTCATCCATATGGAGCGCTGTGCTAGCTACTCTTACTGTTGAGAAATGTATCACCTGGTCATATAAGACTGACACTGTTGAAACATTAAAATATTACATTACTAAACACTACAAGTAAATTTTACAGGAACTCTGAAGACAGTTACCAAGTTTTACTTCTTTTATTCAAGAGGCATCCAATGAAAGTTGGTTAATTAAATCAACATCGCATTGACAAGCTGGTCACCTGCTCCGAGAAGCCTGTTTCCATGTTTCCCTACAACTTTCAATAGCTCACTGGGTCAGCCGGTGGGGCGGAAAGGGCTGCCATAGAGTTCGCGGCCAAGCCCCACTTTCTCCAGCTGTGTCATCTTGGGGCGGTGGACGCTTCTGCATTCCATTTCCTACTGTGCAAGACCGAGAATGCGTTGGGGGTTCAATGAAAATCCAATCAGATAAGGTCTGCAAGAAGTTCTCTAACTACTCTGATTTAAGCAGCCTCTGAGCTCCAATTGGCCTTGAGAGCTGATTTGGGTAGGAAGCCTATCATTCACATTACAGGGCTGCTGTTTCAAACTCCCATTCGCTTTACCTCCTAAATACAATTCTGATAACCTAACAGAGGCCTCTGTGCTTACAAGGTAAGTTAAGACTCTTCACCACGGACCGCCCGTGGGACACCGCCGCGGTCTCCGAGACGTCGTCTTCCGTTCCGGATCCGGGTTCCCAAAGCCCAGACTCGGCCCGCAGCTGTGCCGCACAGGGCGCCCGGGGCCGCCTTTCCGTCTTTCTTTCAACCCTGCGCCGTTAACGCTCACGAACAGTCCACGGAGGACCGTTTCAAACACCCAGGGCGTTTTCAGCTTTTGGTGCCCAAATGAACCAGCCCACCGCGCTCCTTCGCCTCGGAACCCGGCTCGCGGCCTCCTTCGGCCTGCGACTGCGAGGACCCCGATTTGCTCTCACTGGAGGCGCGCACGCGCCTGCCTCAGCAGAAAGCTCTCGAACCTCTACATGTGGGGGCCCCAGAAGCGCCGGGAACCCCTCGGGCCGTATCAAGGCCAAGGGCAGCGGCCGGGTGCCCGGCTTGCCTCTGCGGCCGTGCCCCCGCCGGGGGCGCGTCCGCTTCTCCCGCGTTGCCCTCGGGGTTCTCCATGGCGGGCGGGCGAGGTGATGGAGTGAGGAAGGGCGAGGGGAGGGCGGCAGGACAGCCGGAGGAACCCGCTCGGGGACCCTATGTAAATCCCCGGTGGCCAGCCGGGTCGGACACCGCCAACCTTCCAGCCTGACGACTCTCTCTTTTTAAATTAACTTCCTTGGCCTTCCGTTTTCCTCTCGGAGAGGGGTGGGACTTCCGGCTTCATCTCCGAGTGACTTCCGGCAAGAGCTGATGTACCGTAAACAAGTCGGCACCCGGGTCCGTTGGCCATTCGGGGCAAAATAAAAAGGGAACTCGAAGTGGGTTTTACTAAACCAGTCCCAAGATCCTGTTTTTTTGGTTGTAGTGTCCGGCGAGCGGTCCACAACGGAGTCGACCTGGGAGCTTCCGGAAGTCGCTCAACGGAAAGGCAGGAAGTCCCGCCCCTTCCTCCCAAAGGGAAGACGGTGAGCCGGAGGAGTCAGTCGTAGGGGCGAGCAGGAACGATCCTGTCGGCAAACAGGTAAGTTACTGTCTGGCCGGGGCGGGGGGTTTGGAGGCGGGGACCGTCCAGCGTCAGCGCGGGGCCTGGGGGCGGTGGCTTGAGGGCCGGGGCGCCCGCGGCTGGACGCCGGCAGCCCCGCCAGGGCCCTTCGCTCTTCCTCCTCCCCCTTCCCCCCGCCTCCGCCCCTCCCCGCTCGCCGGTCCCTCCCGGCGCCGCCCAGACTCGCCCCTCTCTCGCCCGCCGCCCGCCGGTCCTCGCCGCCGCCGGCCTCCGCGCCCGCCCTCCCCCGCCGGCTCTGGGCAGGGCCGCGCGCACTCGCGGGCCTTCGGTTTCCCCGCGGCGCCGGCTTGTCAACGCCGCAGCGGCGCCCCGCGCTCTCCAGCCTGCGGTTGGGTCCCTTCTTACCGCCAGCAGGCTCCGAAAGTGACACAAACACGCCCGGGCGCGGGGCCGCCCAGGTGTCGGTCTCAATCTGGGCGGTGGTTTCCTTAGCCGCCACCCACTCGGCCTCCCCACTGCCCGGACTGCGCCGCCGCCACTACTGCCTCCTTCCGCGACGGATGCCGGGCGGGCCGTGGCCCCTCGGGGTTCGTCGCCCCCAGCCTGGAGGGGGACCGCAGGCTGTCGCGCGCTGCTGTCTCGGCGATGCTGCCGATCTCTGCGGACGCGCGCCGCTGCCCCGCCTGCCAGCTCGTCCTGAGCGCCGGCCGCGGTCGGGACTGGAGTCTAGGGGAGCCGGGTGCCCGTGCTGCTGACCCCTGTCGGCTGCGTGCAGTTTGGAACAGCCCGTTTATTCCATTGGGACTTCTGGAATAGGACATATTGGCGGGTGGGCATCCGTAAACCCACACGTGGGATTTCTTTGCTTTGTAGGTAATCCTAGCTTTAAAGGTAATTGAGGTGTGACCTGACGCCTGTGCCCGAAGGCCCCTTTACTGTGCGCTCCCGTTTGGCGGTGGGGCGTTGTCCCGTTGGAACGCTGTTTATACAGGGAAGGGCATTCACCTGTGCGGGTTAGAATACCCTTAGGAGAGCTCAGCGGACATTGTGTTTCAGTTAGCACATCAGCCTTGGCGGGATTACTGTTCCCTTTTTCGCTGAATGAGAACCATATCCAATAATTTGACCAAAATTAACGTCAGGATTCAAGTCTCAGGTGTTACTCTTTACAAGTTTGCTACAAGTGAAATTACAAATCCTACGGGCATATCTGAAAAACACAAAGGCAGGGCTCTGCAGTAGCTGATGTCCTCTTGTATGACATGTAAGGCAGTTGTGATTATTGCTGTTAACTCTTGCTACTGGTGCCTTTAAAAAAGACCCGTTATGGACCCTTTAAGATTTACCGAAAAGCTACAAGATTGGTCAGAGGGTTTCACTGATACTCAGCAAAGTGGTTCCACTGCAACACACATTGGTTCCTGCTTTATGCCTGCACCCGTCTGTGTGCTGGATAGAGGGACACACTGCTCTGGGGGATTTCCCGTTCTGGCTGAGAAGACAGGTATAAGAACGCGAGTGCTGAACTGGAGGTCCTGGAGCAGGAGGGCAGTCTGTCTGGCTGCGGGGAAGCGGGTGGGAGCCTGCGGACACCTGATGGGTTAGGCCTGCCTGATCAGAGGTGAACTCCCTACTCTTCATAAAACAGACTTTTCTGAGGTGACCCCCCACCCCACCTCCTCTGACGTTTCCCAGGTTGTGAGAACAATCCCAGATTCTAAACCTGTGACTAGGAGATGAAATGAAGCCGTGTTTCATAGGCGGTAGTGGAAATGTCTAGATCCATACATTTTTAAATTCTTTACTTTTCGTATGTGGTCACTCCTCTCTGTGGTCTCGTCACACACGCTGTTTATGTGAGGCCAGGAGCTCCGTTATGAACAAGGGTCTGGACTGGGTTCCCACAGAAGTGGGGACGTTGGAGTGAGTGTTGGAGTCACCTGGGGCTGCTGGAAAAAAACACCCGTCGCCTGGCTCACTGGAGAAACAGATGCCTCTTTCCCTCAGCTCTGGAGGTTGCAGAGTCCAAGGCCAAGGTGCAGGTTCCTGGCCAGGGCTCCTCATGGCCTGCAGATGACTCCCCCCGGCTGTGTCATCGCCTGGCTTGTCTTCCCCTCTTAAGGATTCTGATCCGACTTTGGAGCCAGCCCTCAGGATCTCATTAAACCTCACCCCTGCCCCTCCAAAGTCCCCACCTCCAGAAAGCCCGCAGCATCTGAGATCAGCCCTTGATGTGCGCATTTGGAGAGAGACATTGCGGTCTGTTGGGGGTGGGTGTCTTCAACTTCCTGTTACGTGGAATTAATTCCTCCAAAATAGACTTGATATGGAGCTAAATAGGAAATTGTAAGATCAGCATTTATATATGGCTTTTTACTAAAGTAGGTGCCATTAAAAAAAAAATATTTTAGCATGATTCCGAGACCAGTGGATGAAAAAATTATAATAGTTTCATTTTGATGAAAGAACTGCGTAGGATTCACTGCAGGGCTAGTGGGAACGAGGGCCTTAAAGGAGTTACTGATTAGAGCTAAGGGTTGTGGTGTTGACTTCTTCCGGCTCCCTCATCGTCTGATGGGGAGGCTGAGCCCCACTGAAACTAAGTGACAGATCTGTCCCAGGGATTAGTGACACAGCAAGGGTTAGACTCCAGCCTCCTGATTTGCAGGCTGGCATTTCTGCACCTTCATCAGTGGTTCTTAACCTTAGGGTGCATCAGTGTAACCACTTGGGCTTGTGGCTTGGGACTGAGAATTTGCATTTCTGGGCTCTGCTGAAGCTACTGGCTGAGGCCACAGTTTGAGAAACGTGGCCATAGGTGATGCCTTCAATCTCTTACAAGAAGAGAGTAAGTAAACCTCTCTGGGTTTGTGCTGGCCTAACCTTCTCCCTGGTACTTGGAGAATCACGTTTTTAACAAATAGTAATGCACCAACATCAAAATGATGAGATGAAAAAAGGGAGTGGAAGTGGAGTGTTTCTCAGAGTCATTTTGACATTTGTAAGGATGACTTTTGGAGATCACTCCAGAGGTCAGAACCATGTTGCTGTTGAAGGGGGCACGCTTCAGCTGTGCGGATCCTTGGTCTTCCCGACGTGGGTGCTGAAAAGGATGTCCAGGTCGATTGCTTCCAGCGTTGTTACTTGGTACAGCTCTGTATTTTGTGTACTAAAATGATCTTTTCTCATATGTCAAAATCTCATGAGACCCTGGCACAGTTACATGCCCATTGTAGATGTCAGTGTAGGTGGAATGAATTAAAAAAGAGTAAGGGGGAAGGTAAGGTAGGCTATTTATCTGGAGAGACTTCAGTGCTCTAGGAAAGTTACTCTGCTCTCCAGATTATCCTGACTGTAGGTTTTTATTGAATAATTACAGTTTATTCCAGCTTAAGCCTTGTTTGTAATTATTGGGATTTTTTTTTTTAGTAGAAATACTAGAGGAGAAAGTGTATATTTATGTTAAGAGTTAATGAGTGATGTCTTACACCTTTTTTAATCATTCATTTGAAATGATTTTTAAAAACTTTCTACTTTGACCCTGGCTAGGTGGCTCAGTTGGTTGGAGGATTTGTCCCGTAGCCAGAAGGTTGTGGGTTCGATTCTTGGTAAGGGCCCATGCCTGGCTTGTGGGCTTGATCCCTGGTCAGGGTTTGTACTAGAGGCAACCAGTTGATGTTTCTCTCTTACATCTGTGTTTCTTTCCCTTCCTTTCTCTCTTATTCTCTTCCCCAGAAGCAATGAAAAAAAGTCCTCAGGTGAGGATTAAAAAAAAAATTAAAAAGAAGCTTTTGAGTTTGAAATAATTTTAGAATTACGAAAAAGTTGCAGAAGCAGCCTGGGGAGTCGGTACATGCCTTTTACCAGCCCCGCTCTGCTGGCACCTCCTGCGGCCACCGCGCAAGAGCCGCGGCCCGGCAGCTGCCACGCTGCTCTCGAGGCTCTGGTCGCGCCCCGCCGCTGACACCCTTTGTCGGGTCCACATCGCCCGCCGCAATCAGCCACATCATTCACCAAAGTCAGCGGTTGAAGGCTTAAATACGACATGCAAAACGATGAAACTTCTGGAAGACAATGTAGGACAGTAATTACATGACTGATTGTAACAATCACAGAAGGTACAAACCATACAGGAAAAGGTCGGTATGTTTGACAACAGCCTTGAGCACTTGTGTTTATGAAATGAAACCAAGAAAGCGAACAGACAAGTCACGAGCGAGGACTAGGTGTTTTCAGTATCCATTGCTGATCAAAGACTAGCATCCAGGAGGGTGAACGACAGCAAATCAGTAAGAACAACAGACATGGGCAAACGACCCACACGGGCATCCTGGCCAAGAGGAACCCTGAGGGCAAAGGTTCCCAACGTCTAGTGAAAAGGGAATGGCAAATTGGGACGGAATGGTAGATAGTTGCAGGTACATGAGCTGGCAACAGTGTAAAAGTCAGTTTGGGGGCAGGAAACAGCTAGAATGCTTACACAACAGATGGGGGTATAAATTGGTACAATAACTTTGGAATTACCTAATAAACATGCGTGTGCCCTCTGACCCAGTAATTCCCCTCCTCCCGTAAGTCTTTATCCTAGAGCAGAGCTTCTGAATCCTGTTTCCAGGGTCTCCAGGGGACTTGTTAGAGAGGCAAATTTTTGAAGTCCCACCCCAGACCAGCTGAATGGGAAACAGGGAGGGGCCCGCTTTCAGGCTCCCCACTTGTCCAGGTGATTTGATGCTAAAATTGGGAAACCACTGCCCTAAGGAAGCCCCAGTACGGGAGCGCCTGGAGTCCCCGGAGAGTGCTCCGAGCTGCGCTGCTTGCCACCTGGAAAGCCTGGGCGCAGCGTGCGCCACGGAGAACGGGTGGATCGCAGTGGATTCCCACAGTTCAGTGCTCTGCAGCAGGGAAGCCGGTGTCACTGCATGCGTCACCAAGGACGAGTGGCAGGAGCATTATTTTTAGGGAAAAAAGCTATTTCCAGAGAACGCATATAGTAGTTTTCCATTTTTTTTTAAGCTTAG